ACATTATTATTTAGCACATTCATCTCTACCTTAATGAATACCATTTTTAAGGTCTCTCAGCCACATCACATTATTATTTAGCACATTCATCTCTACCTTAATGAATACCATTTTTAAGGGCTCTCAGCCACATCACATTATTATTTAGCACATTCATCTCTACCTTAATGAATACGATTTTTAAGGGCTCTCAGCCACATCACATTATTATTTAGCACATTCATCTCTACCTTAATGAATACCATTTTAAGGGCTCTCAGCCACATCACATTATTATTTAGCACATTCATCTCTACCTTAATGAATACGATTTTTAAGGGCTCTCAGCCACATCACATTATTATTTAGCACATTCATCTCTACCTTAATGAATACCATTTTTAAGGGCTCTCAGCCACATCACATTATTATTTAGCACATTCATCTCTACCTTAATGAATACCATTTTTAAGGGCTCTCAGCCACATCACATTATTATTTAGCACATTCATCTCTACCTTAATGAATACCATTTTTAAGGGCTTTCAGCCACATCACATTATTATTTAGCATTCATTCATCTCTATTTTAATGAATACCATTTTTATTATTTAGGAATACCATTTTTAAGGGCCACATCACATTATTATTTAGCACATTCATCTCTACCTTAATGAATACCATTTTTAAAGGCTTTCAGTCACACCACATTGATTATTTAGCACATTCATCTCTACCTTAATGAATACCATTTTTAAGGGCTTTCAGTCACACCACATTGATTATTTAGCACATTCATCTCTACCTTAATGAATACCATTTTTAAGGGCTCTCAGCCACATCACATTATTATTTAGCACATTCATCTCTACCTTAATGAATACCATTTTTTTTTAAGGCTCTCAGCCACATCACATTACCATTTTTAAATTTAGCACATTCATCTCTACCTTAATGAATACCATTTTTAAGGGCTCTCAGTCCACATCACATTATTATTTAGCACATTCATCTCTACCTTAATGAATACCATTTTTAAGGGCTCTCAGCCACATCACATTATTATTTAGCACATTCATCTCTACCTTAATGAATACCATTTTTAAGGGCTTTCAGCCACATCACATTATTATTTAGCACATTCATCTCTACCTTAATGAATACCATTTTTAAAGGCTTTCAGTCACACCACATTGATTATTTAGCACATTCATCTCTACCTTAATGAATACCATTTTTAAGGGCTTTCAGCCACATCACATTATTATTTAGCACATTCATCTCTACCTTAATGAATACCATTTTTAAAATCTTATGGTCACATCACATTGAAACACCAGTTCCCATATCATCTCCAAATTTAAGCCGCATCAAGTTGAGCCTGGTCAGTACCTTGATGACTGAATGCTTGGGAAGACCAAGTGCTTTATGGATGTCTGAGTGGTGTATGGATAATGGCTCAGAATTGTTAATCAGAGAGCTGAGTTCCAATTCCAGTTGGGTTCGTTCTATTCACTTACACAGAAATACCCTTGGAAAAGGTATGAATCCACCTCTTCTCCTCCCAGCTATGGGTTAATTAGCAAAAGTTGTATGACTAAACTATTATCTCCAAAATAAATTCTTACAATCTAAAACTATTTTATGGCTTTAAATAACCTGTAAAAGGATTGATAAGACATAGAAAATAAATCAATTCTAATACTGATGTTATTTAGCACATTTATCGCTTACCTTAATAAATACCCTTTTTAAAACCATTGAAATGTTTCTATATAATTGACTGTAAGTATCCTCCTTATCTTGTCTATATAACAATCACACCTACAGATATATTATGTATTTATTCACATTCTCCAAATATGGCAGATACTTGATATTCTCTGTGCACATCTTAACTTTTCTTGACTCTCTCAAAATTGCATACTTGTTGTCTAAACTGACCCTTCAGTTAAAAAAAACGTGTGTGTGTTTTAGTAATTGACAGTTAATCAAGAGCTGAAGACAACAACAAGACTGTAAACATTTAAGCTGTTCTACAAGTTTATTGAACAATAATTATACAAATTACATTCCTCTCATATGACTAATTGTGGCAATAAAATTGTTACTAATGTTGAGCTCTTGTATACACAACTACTTGGCTAGATTGATTGTTTGTGTTCCCAAATTAAACTCTGAAAACTATTTTTATAGAGTATCAATTGGTAATCAGCCTTTTTTTTAATTTCACCATTTGATCACTACCAGGCTTGTTCAACACCAAAATTTTTTTTTTTTTTTGTTTTTTTTTTTTGTTTTTTGCTTGGTTTTCAAATCAAGAGTGTAACCTTTAGGGAATTCACTGAAGGTTACCTGCATTGACAAATAGTCGAAGATGGCAGAAACATTGTGATAATAACCTAGATGAGGACATTAAATAATAGTAATATACTTGGAATATTTTTCTGGCTACCCATCAATGACATTATCCATATTTTTGCTTATTGATAAGTAAGCAATATGGACTGAATCATCAAATTGTCTTTAAATTAAGTAGCAGCAGAAGTATTATCATTGAACTTTTAAAAGATAACATTAAATATTAATACAATACTTAAATGCAGGGATCAATTTTGAGTTCCTCTGTAGTTTAATGTTGCCTGATGGGGCAGCTTTTAAGCTAGTATACAATAAATATTATTGTCTCTTAATTTCTTTCATTGACCTAATTATCTCTCTAATTAAAAAAAAATATATAGATATTACTTTTTTATTACTACAAACATTACATTTTGTGGATAGATATGTTTGAGCCTGTCTATATTTCTGAGATGAGGTATTATGAGGTTTATAATACCCAGAAATTCATACCCATGTTAGGACACATGGCACAGTGGATAAAGGCGTTGGTTAGATCCAGTGACAGGACCCAAAGTGTGTGGTTAAGGCAGTGGAGAACTTTCAGAAGGAAATTAACAGGAGATAACTGATAACTGACATCCATCAAACATGGCACGTGGAACTAGAACAGTCTACCCCAGGGAGCGAAATAAAGGGTTCAGTTCGACATTCCAACCACCTGAAGAAGCCTGGAGCATACAATGGCCGAAACGTTGTAATAAATATGGTGACAAAGATGAGGACAATAGTCCGAAGAATGTAAAAAATGTAGATATGTTTGAGTAGACATCTCTGTATTTTAAACAATGAAATTAATGTCTACCAGCCTATACATCAAAAGTCTTAAAGAAAAAGTGCCTGCCAATAGGAATCTAACTTTTATTCTCTTTTTACTCTAGAAAACTGCTTTTAAATCAAGCGTGCTTTACCATTAAGCTGCAAGAAGCTATTACAGTAAAGCAAAGGATTTTGTTACAGTTGAAACACAATGTTGTCCTTAAATATTTAGAGTAGTCAAAAATATTTAATAAACAATAAATAGTTAGAACCTTTTAATATATTAATTTATTTAAAATGTATTTACATTCTTACCTATTACAGAAAAACTCCTATTATATTAGGACCTTGAATAGGTTCTCACTGTTTTCCAACAGATGGTGTTCCCAGAACTGTGCGCATGTAGTTTCAGGTGGTAATGCACCTATAAGGAAGTATTATAAGCAAGCTTGAAATTCAGTGTATGTCATTTCACTGAAGTGTAAACACCTTTGTTTTTCATTGCATTAAACATGTAGAATTTTGTGCGAAAGAAAGTGTATTTGTGGGGAATTTTATTGCACTACTTTATTCAAAAGAAATCTGCAGTTGAATTATGCAAAATTCTTGCTGAGACTTACGGCGACCATGCTCTGTCAGAAACAACATGCAGATTGGTTTAGACACTTCAAAAATAATGATTTTGATGAAGTTAAAGAACACTCTGGCACACCAAAAAAATTTGAAGACAAAGAATTGGAGGCATTACTTCATGAAGACTTATGTCAGATGCAAGCTGAACTTGCAGAAGAATCATTAGTTGATCACACAACAGTTTTGAAACATTTGAAAGCATTAGGAATGATTCAAAGCAAGGACATTGTGTGCCAAGTTGAAGCTAAGAGACATTAAATGGTGTCTTGTCATGTGTGAACAGCTGCATCAACAGCAGAAAAGGAAAGGTTCTTTGCATTGTATCATGACCAGCAATGAAAAGTGGATTCACTACAATAGCCCTAAGCGTGGAAGATCATGGGGTAAACCAGCCATGCATCAACATCGACAGCAAAACCAAATATCCATGTTTCAAAACTTCTGCTCTGCATTTGGTGCAATCAGTTGTGTGTAGTTTATTATGAACTGCTCAAACCGACTGAAACCATCATGAGAGATTGTTATCAACTACAATTGATGTGTTTGAGCTGAGCATTGAAGAAATATGGACACTATATGAGCAGAGACCTGACAAAGTGATTTTGCAACATGACAATGATAGGCCACATGTTGCAAAATGGATGAAAACCTACTTGGAAATGCTTAAATGGGAAGTCCTACCCCAACTGACATATTCACCAGACATTGCCCCATCCGATTATAACTTGTTCCAATTGATAACACATAGTTTGGCTGAGCAGCACTTTCATTCTTATGAAGATGCCAAAAAATGGGTTCACTCATGGTTAGCTTCAAAAGATGTGTTGTCTTTCTGACGTGGAATTCAAATGCTGTCAGAAAGATGGGAAAAAGTAGTGGCTAGCGATGGACAATATTTTCAGTGACATTAACATTAAAACATTACTTTTCATGAAAAGTCCTAATATATATATAAAAAAAAAAAAATAAAAGAAAATTATTTTAAAAAATAAAGAAGGGAAAATTATTTTTACCCCAAAATATCAATTGTAATTGTACTTACATCAAAATAACCATGATTTTAAATATTAACTAAATATAGTAAAAATCCTTAACAAATATTTAAAGAAGTTATATCTAATATCCAGTCTACTATTAAAAAAATTGAAACAGTATTGACTTTAAAATGAAGAAATAATTCAACAATGACAATAATATGAAATAATATTCTTTTTTTATTGTTTTTAAAGGAAAAGAAAATGAAGGTGTTTGTGGAATCTAAAGTTGTTGTACATGATGAACGCTATGAATCGATAAAGAACCAACTTCAGATCTTCAACCAAGGTTTGTATATCACTTCCTTCTTTGCAGTTTTCTTGTTTTGTTTTGATGCAATAAAGAGCACATGTGTCAGTTACTGGCAGGACTAAAAATGAGAAATCATCAGTTTCTTGAAAATGTGCTTTCTTTTATTTTTATTTTTTTTAAATGGTTTGTTATTGGGCTTTTGAACTGCAGTGTTAGTTAAAGTTGTAAAAGTAGATGACCTAATTGATAGAGCACCAGAGAGTACATGACCTGTCCAGCAATAATCTTGGTATCTTATATTAACAAAAATGTGGCCTATCTAGGGTAATAGTGCCTTAGTACTCTTCAAACTACTCTCCCTCAAATTTCACACCAGTGTCTCTTCCATTTTCAAAACAATCTGCAAAGTCCTTTTTCAGGATTATCATCAGCTAACTCATTGTTTTTCTCTTTATTTTTATCCATAGTATGTAATTCCTGCCTTTCAACAGTAATTTTTAGGTATTGAAAAACTAGAATTTGCAGGGAACCAAATATAGATTGCATGTAAGGGTGAGGGACATACTGACAGACATGGGTGATGTAATGTTTTACGCCCCAAACTCTGTGATGTAAAGAATAAGTCACTCTATTCAAAATGGCTGCACACTTTCCAAACAGTCCCTGAAATTCCCAGATATTCTAAATCTTGCTGTTAATTGCCATTTCTTTTGATTGCAATCTGTGTGCATTCAGTATTTTCAGGTGTTCTGTTTGTTTGAAGACCTTCCAGAATGTGGATCACTTTCAATCAATTTCCAAATAAATTTGAAACAATGGTACCAAAATTTTATCTGAGCTTTGAATCCTTTCTGAAAGTCTTCTTAATCATTCAAATAGTTTCTGCAGATAATTTTCTAGTAAAACTTGATGCATGTTTACTGTGAATACACAGGCATATTCAATAGTATCTCACTGCTGAATGAGTAACCCACTAAAGAGTGCCTGCTTGTGCATGTTCAGTAACGTCCCCTTTAATTGGTTACTAAAGGTATATTGAGGCTGCACAACCAAAATTTTGTATACAAATTTTTGGACAACATATCAGAACTTTAATGATATTAAAGCATTAAAAGCCTCATGCTGAAGTAATTCAGAGCATTAAAAAAATGCCATGCCTCTTCAGGATATAAGCAATCCCAATTCTTCACCAATTCCTTTTTTTTCTTCATTATCTGTGAATTATCATTTTTTGGGAAAAGATAGGAGAAAGGTTTCCTATTGCCTTCTCCATGGTTTGGAATTAGTGTTTTCCTTATCTTAGACTGGTTGTCACCCAAGGCTAGAGAGTCCAGTCTACCATGCTATTTAACCAATTGCTGGAGGGAGAAGATGGATTCATGTTTTTCACAAGGGCATTAGTGTGAAAGTGAACACAACAGCCTAGGCTAGAATTTGATCTTGGATTCTACTTTTTGTGCCAATAGCCACTACACCACCTGTACATCCCTCTCTTATTAAGTATGCATTCTTTAAAAATATCTTTCAAATAAAATCAATATGTACTAAATCTGTTCAAGCTCTTCTTTAATAAGAACAGTTCAAAATTTTTAAATTTGTTTTTATGAAACCTGTCCTTTTAACTTTAACTTCAAAGAAATAAATTTAGAAAACAATGTGTATTTGTATCTCTGTAATTAAATTAAGTTATACAATTTGCTACCTAAAATTTTGCAAAATTCAAACAGTAGGTGACCTAAATATATAAGGAACTTTTGTTACTAATCTTTTGGAAAATAAGCCACAAGTTGTAAGATTGTGAACCAGTGAGTAAACAGCAGGCAAGGGATCATTTCAAAGGAGATGGCAGAAACTAAGACATTAGGTTAAGTTATTTTTCTTATTCTTGAAAGTTTTGGGTAAGAGTTTGTACATTGTCTTCTGTGATATTTCATTGTCACATATCATTAAACAAATTATATTATCACGCACACACACACACACACACATATATGGATCAGAATCTGACAGAATGATAGCAGAAGGAACAAATGCATATGAAGTCTGCTTAACCAATGAAAGACAAACACAGTTAAAAAATACCAGAATTTTGTCTATTTTTTCTTTTTCTTCTCCATATTTCATTCTCTGATGAAGCTTTAATGAAAGTGAAACATGTTAGATTTATAAAGAAGACACAAATACACACACACACACATATATATATATATATATATATATATATATATATATATATTATGTGCGTGTGGCTGAGTGGTTAGAATGTTCGCATTCTGAACATGAGGCCCAGGTTCAAATCTCACCATGGTCAATTTGTCTGGAACAAGACTCCCTGATGATATTGGTCTGGAGGGGGACGAACCCAGCGTGCCGCATCTTTGGAAAGTGCCTGAAAACCATTCTAGAGGTTGACCCAAGCCTTGTGAGTGAAATTGGGTAGATGGAACATTTGAGGGCCATTGATAGCTGTGCTTGCACAAAGTCACAAGTCATTGTGACTGAGGGTTTGAGTGTGGTGGCCTTGTTCAAATTGTTGATCACACTAGATAACACACTCTCTCCCAGAAACTGTAACTAAGGTCTGCTCAGCATAGTTGCAGTATAAACAACAGGTGGGATCTGTGGGTGTTGTACAAACACAAATGTGCCTGAGTGAGCATCTGCAATAAGGATTGGCTAGCCGCTTTAGTGGACAGGTATCCTTGAATAAGAGTGACCAGCTATTATATATGTGTGTGTCTTATATACATGTGTAGCCTTCTTCTTTGCTGGTCTGTCTGATGTCCAATCCCCGGAGCTGATCAATGAATTGATCACTTCAATCCAAGCCTTGCCCTATTCCACATTGTTTAGTGGGGTGTGCTCGGATTGAATCATCGATAGGAATTGTATTGGTTTGGTCCAGGCGGAGTGAAGATACAAATAAAAAAAAAAAATAAAAAAATTTGAGTAAAAGAAATATTTTTTTTATATATATATATACACACACACACACACACACACACATACATACACATTCTTTGTACAGGACTTGGTTAATTCTTGATATTAAAAATTATGACCCTTCCTGCTTCATAAGTTCAGTGCAATAATTTGGTTGGTTTAGCTAAGTCTGGATAAGGCTTATGTCGGCGGTTTCCTTCAGGCAGGACGTCACATGAGATCAGATGAAGTGATCATCTGGCATCTGGAACAACTGTCTCGGCTGCTTCGATCTCCTCTTTATATGGACCTTCACCTGAAACTGACAGGGTATAACATGGCCTGGGGTTATGGTGATTCTCCTAATTGCCAACAAGAACCCATTGTTGTCTGGTCTTGAGAAATTAATTACATGCCCAATTTTGGGGAGATCCCCTATTCCATGAGTAGTGGTCATAGGATATCCATCTGCCCTAACTCCTTCTTATTTTAGCACCTCACACCAATACTTCCCAATGAGCATGGGCAATTCCTTTGCCTTCCTTGATATTTTTTCCCAAACTAAAATAACCATTGAGATAATGGCGATTTTCTAAGCATAGCTTTGATGTGACACAAGGCTGATGTTATGGGGCAGCCAGTTAAGATCGAACTCACTATTCAACCATAATTGTTCTCGTAAGACAAACTTGCTAACCATTTCACCATATCAGAGTGCCCAAATTAAATAATATTAGGTGGTGAGACTACCAAAAGAAAACTTTATACATTGTTTTGAAAAGGGGATGTGACATGCAAGGGAGTTACTTTGAAGAGCACCATTGCCCTAGGTAGGCTGCATTTTTTTTTTCTTTCTTTTTTAATATTAAATGGTTGGATACTTTCCAGACATATATTGTATGTTAGAGAGATTTCAGATTTTCATTTTATTTTTCAGATAAAGATGATTTAACTGACCGAATAGACTTTGTGATCTGCTTAGGTGGTGATGGCACTTTGATGTATGCTGCTTCACTTTTTCAGGTATAATAGGTTTATTTATGTATTCATTAATTAAATCTTTTTGTACTTGATTGGTGAGATGTAAGTTCCACTTGAGCACTTTTCCATGAATTTCTGCTTTGTGGAACCAACTCCACTTCCCTGATCACTACAATTTTAACCTGTTCAAATCAAGGGTTAACTGTTACAAGGCCATAGTTGTAGATGATTGAACTTATTACCCATCAGCAATAGGTTTGTCAGATTAGTGCCTTAGTCATTACTTCATGGTAAATTACTCAAGGTTTATAGCATTAATTGAAATACCAATCTTATTCAAAGCTTCACTTTGCTATGTTTGTATGTATGAAAGTATGTCTCACTGTGTAGTCATTGAGTTTGTCAGAGACAATGAAATTAACTTATATAACCAGACCTACTGAGAGCACCATCTGTGTTGCGTTCACATAAAGTGGTAAAACTTTAATGAACTTTCCACAGAAGTTTGGTGGATGGAGACCTGCTGCTGTCCAGTTAACACTGCATTAGTCACATGGGGTGTTTTGTTACCCCAAATTATTAAAGTACTTGTGATTCCTGTTTAGCAACTTGTTTTTTTTTTTTTGCTCCTTCCCAACACTCTCTTAACTCTGTGAGGGTGTGTAGCATGTGATGTAGCACATTTGTAGCTCAGTTGTCTTGAGAGGCAGAAACTAGGGGACTATCCATTTTTGGAAATCCGAGGTGACTAAAGCAAGGTTAATAGTCTTCCTTCTTTTCGGTAAACCAACAAGATCCACAGGAATGCAAGGCTTGATGTTTGAGGAGCTTTGCTGCTAGAGTTGCCAAGAGAAGTCAGTGTTGACAGTGAACTGTCTTAGAAGGAAAACTGAATTTCAATCCTGAGAATGACATCATGGTATACTGTGTACTATTTCTTTGTTATCAGTTCCTTTGAAAAGTGTGGCTGGTTCTACACAAGTATTCACCCCAAATCAAGTGTGGGTAGTCTGGCAGTTCAATTCTAAGAATTGAACTGTTAAATTCAATGGGAGAGTTGCATATATATATATATATATATATACACACACATATTGGCAGCATGTTTTCATTAAGGCATGTCTCATTAAATAATTTAGACAAGTTTTGTCTACTTATTCTTAATAGGGTCTTGTCATATTTACAAACTAGTTTCTTAGTGTCCTTATTAAAGGAAGAAAAAAATTACCATGTTGATTGTATATTCACTTTATTCCTGAGTACTTTTGACATTAGCACAATGTCATCTTCAGGATCTCGTTTTTGCTAGGACAAAATTGCTGTGTTCATCTAAAAATTAAATTTTTTACTTGTAAAGTGAAAGTGAGTGTTTTTCACTTCACAAGTAAAAAATTTAATCTACTGAGAAAACTTAATTTTAATTTTATCTTGAGGACACAAGTCTAATAGACATAATACATAGTTCTTAAAGAAACAGAGGATCTATTAAAACAGCTATCCAATAAATATAACATTTGAAGTAAAAAAAATGTCAGATTAAAAATAAAATCCATTAATTTTATATATATATATATATATATATATATATATATATATATATAAATAAATAAGGCATGTGTTGTTGAAGAATACGGAATTTTTTCTTTTAATGGTCTTTTCTTTTGATTTTTTTCTTTTTTTATCGCAATTTTCTTTGTAGCTGGGTCTTAATTGTTGAAAAATTACCAGTCTTTGGTGTGTTGCGAAAGCACTTTCAGTTGTTGTCAACCGTCATCATGACTGTATGTTTTTGATTTTAAATAGGTTTTTATTTTTAATACTTGCACAAACATCTTAAATAACTAATCCTCCAAATAATAAATACCAACCCCCATCCAAATTGTTAATGAATTAATTTAATAGCATGGCCTGAATGCCCAAAAATATTATCTATAAAAATAAAAAGCTACCTACTTAAAACCAAAAACATACAAACATACAACCATAACTACAACCAAAAGCACTTGGCAATGCACCAAAGACTGAGGCCTTTTTTCAACAACTTAGACCTAAATGCAAATAAACTTGTGAGAAAGCAAGAAAAAAAAATCATAAGAAAGAAAAAATTGTAAAAAAGAAAAAGTTCTGTAGTCTTCAACAACACCTGCCTTAATAATGACATGCTGCCAAAATTATATATATATATATATATACACACATACACACTTATTCACCCCACTCTCCAACCATGAGTTTATGCACACTTTAGTTGGCTCCAGATCACCTTAATTTCACATTTTCTGTACAAATGTTTGTTCAAAATTATCTGTTATTAAGGCCAGTTTTTTTCCTGCAAAATATGTTAGATTTTTATGAATTATTCATTTTTTTTGTTTGTGTTTTGTAACAATTATATAGTTTAACAAAATTATTTTTTCAAAATTGACTGCCTTCAAAATAAATTATTTTTAAAATTGTTTGCTTTTAACTTTAAAAATACTTATGTCTAATGGATGTTTTATTTATCCAGACATAATTTTATTATTTTTAAACATTATTTTTGTTGATACTCATATGTGAGTAGATGATCTGTTTATTTTTTAAGCAGTATTTTATTTTGTCTACTGACCTGAACTTTTGAGAAAAAATGCACCCTGTTCAGGCCAGAAGACAAAATAAAATACTGTTTAAAAAAATAAACTGAACATCTACTCAAATATAGGTATCCAGTAAAAATAACATTTAAAGTAATAAAAAAAAAAAGATCAAAGAAACATATACACACACACACACACACACACACACACACAATGTTTCTCTGATCTTTGATTCATTTTGATTTGCTGCCAATAATTCCTATGGAAATATTTGAAATTGTTTAGATGAAACCTTGTAAATTATTAATAATCTTTGACTCGTAGTTCTTTCATCTTTTTATCAAGGTTAACAGACCATCATTTATTCGTTTCCAATTTGTTTCTTACCAACAACCATGGAATGACAGTCTGGATGTTGCAATGAAAAGCAACTGAAACTTAAATGAAAGAAATATTAGTCACAGATTTATAATAATTGCTATGGCAATTCTTGTATATAAATTATTTCAGTTATTACTTTATTCTTCAGAAATGTGTACCTCCTGTTATGTCTTTCCACTTTGGATCCCTGGGATTCTTGGCCCCATTCCAATTTCAGGATTTTAAAGAAGATATAACACAAGTTTTGGAAGGTTTGTGTTTTTAAAATTTTTCTAATGATAATATTAAATACATATACAATATACAAAATCAAATCTTAAAAAAAAATGCATCTTAGTCTTAGAATGTCTGATGAGATATCTCCCAAGAAATGTTCTTTGTTTTAGGTCTTCTTCCTTAGGTGGTAAATTGAATAGTAATTCAAAATAATTTACAGTGGATATGTTGAAGGTAATGAAAGCAATGATTCTTCTAGAGTAACTAACATAATATTTTACCTATTCTATATTGGTAGTATATAGGAACATCCAGTGAAGGTGGTCTCATTGGAATTTAAAGGGGGGGAAAAAAAAAGAATAATGTTCCGAAGTTTAATTATTAACCTTACTATTGCAATCCAAACATTAAAATCATTTTTAAGAATTAAATACTGCAACAAAATATTGTCATTGATATTTTTTTTTTTTAATACCATATTTAATTCCAAAACTGGAAATGTGATTCTATAGAAGGATGCTGAGGTTACTATGGACCGAATATGTGAGCAATGACAAAGTTTTAGAGAAAATGGGTAGAAAAATGAAACTTATACTTAACATCAGGAAGAGCCAGTTGAAATTTCTGGGGCATATAATGAAGAAAGAGGGCATGGAAAATGTGATACTCACAGGACAGAATGAAGTGCCCACCATGAACAGTACAGTGACTGACCATGGGTTTCTAAATGATTATGACCAGAGGTGTCTGCAGTAAGAGACAAGCAACACTGAATCAAATCCTATCCGCATTCAATGCTGGAGGTATCTGTTGCATATCCAGCAGGTTAGTTTATCATTCTTCAGCTTCCATGGAATATGAGAACTGAAGATACCGACCATCCAGTGTGCTCCTGGACACAGCATCTTACCTGGGCTTGTGACGCTGCTAATTAAACCCAGTAGGAAAAGGCAAGAAGGACAGAAAAACAATGCATAACCTACTTAGCTTGAGTAAAATGATGGTGGGTCAGAGCTTAGGAGAAATAACAAAAAGACCAAATTTATTAAAAGCTATGAAGGACAGGAAATTGGGGAGAGTCATGATCGCCTACATGCTGAAGTGACATGGTTGTCATTCTTTTAACATTCAAATCTGAAATTGTGAATTTTTTTTATCTATTATCCTGTAAAAGTAATCAAACATTTCTGTAACATTCACTTTTACATAACCAGTCTCAAAGGATATCTGAATAGTGTTTAAAAATTATAAAAGCACCTTTTAGGCATGGACCATGTAAGTAATAAGGTATCTTTTTCTTTTTTTTTTTTTTTTTTTTTTTTTTTTTTTTTCAATCCCTTTCTTCCAAGCAAGGAATAAAACCACAAGACAACGATTGAGACTGCATTTAAATTTTTGAAGCTCAAAGTTGACTGGGAAGCAATAAGCTGGAAGAGAGTTCCACAAGCGAGAAGTGTAACAGAAAAAACTTAACATAGAACTTACAGCTACATCTAACCATTTCAACTGTTAATTAATAAGACCTTGCTGCCAATCTAGTACTGCATTTAAATTCATAAAGTTTAGGTACCATACAAGAAAGTTCATCTGAACAATTACCATGAAAATATTTATAGAAAAGACACAGGGAAGTTATGTTTATGATGCTGGGAAAGGGACTGAAGCCAAGATACCAGTTCAGGATCAATAACATTGCAGATTCTTCTTTGTATTTTATGAAGAATCTCTAAATATATAGCAGGAGCACCAGACCAGATGTGGCAGCAATATTTAAAGCATGGATGAATGGTAAATATGTAAGAAAAATTCTAGTGAGAAAAATTGTCTAGCACAACATAGTAAACTAACTTTCTTAAATTTCCACTTCATGTCAGCTGAAAACGTTAGTCTGAGAAGGAGAATCTTGTATATCTTTTTGTTCCTATATAGTTCTACAATTTAGTATTTATAAGTATAACAAGGGAATAAGTCTATTGGACATTCCAAATCCCCCGAAAAGATAAATAATTAAATAATTTCAAAAGAAAACTATAACAAAGTTGCCAGAAAATAAACTTTGAAATTTCTATAATTTGGCTACCCAACAAATAGGGAAAAAAATCCTGAACTTTTACTTCTCAATATAAAGAGTGCGATGGGTAAATTGTCGCCATTTTATATTTTTAATTTTGCCTATGTGTGTTGTTTGTTTTTGATTTTTTGTCAATTGTACAGTATATTAGGGTTAGTTGGGCACTGTCTGTGAGAAAAAGAGCACCATGATGCAATTCATTCTGTGAGAAATTTGAAACTGTACTGCTTAGCATTTGGACCAAAAGCTCAAATGTAAACATTTCAGAGTGTTTGGATGTCAATCTGAGGATTTGGAAAGAGTTGGATGAGTTTAATGGTGATTACAAAGGTACAGTAGCTCAGAAATCTCACTGATCATTCTAATAACAAAAGAACTCCCAAATTTGTTGGTGAGGGCCTCACACTCGACACAAGGCCTACATTAAGTTCCTTGAGGAGATAGTGCTGCCTTGGGTCAAGAGGGTGGCTGCTGGAAAACCCTATGCCTGGTAACAGGACTCTGCACAATGTCACACAAGCAGGAGAATGCAGTCATAGCTGTCAGACAATTTCTGCAACCACATCACCCCTTACTCCACAGACTGCAACACCCTTAATTATGTGTGGTGTGCAGTTGAGTGTGAGACCAACAAAACTCTTTGGGATACCAAAGATGAACTGAAGGCAAGGATTATGGTGGCATTCAACAAGGAGACTGTCCAGAAGAGTTGCAGGAGATTCTGAAGTTATCTGGAGATCGTAGTTGAAGCTAATGGTAATTTAATTGAATTTTTAGTATTTCAAGATATTTTTGTTTAATTTTGGTAAATATATCTGTTAGAATAAGTTATCAGTGTTGTTTTCATTTTTGTGTAATTTACATGAATATTTATCCATCACACCCCATATGTGCAGCAGATAGTAATATTTAGATTTAAGAAAAAGGTTTAAGCTTCTTGGTCTGTTTACCGTTCTATGCTGTAAAAACTGACCTGTACTAGTTTGAATTTTCTCCCTAAATTAGATTGGTATTTTATGAAGAGAAAATGTTGGTTTGCTTGACTTACTGAACAAATTATTGACATTCTTATTATAAAATGGCAAAAATCTCTTTCACAATTTCTCTGTATCTACTAAGAGAATTAATTCTGAAAAGAGGAGTTTGTTTAGTACTTTGTAAAAGTAGGACAAAATAAGTCCTTTTTCCCTGGTTGTTATCATTTGTAAGACCTTGATGAGGTCAAGATTTTTCTTATCAATTTATGTAAACAAAAGAAATTTGTTATTAGGTGTTTAGCTAATTTAGGTTTTTCTTTTGGGACCTGATAGTGTAGGGTTCTTCCAGGACAAGTAAAGGAAATTAAATTGTCTATAACTTTGAAGAATCAATAACATTCAATTCTGAACTGATTCTTCATGAATTTGATATTGTTAATATTTCCCAAACACAGTCAACACACTGTGGCTGTGTTCATAGTTGATATTATTGAGTGTTGGCTTTTTCTTTTTTATTAACAATGCTTCCATTATTTTAGCCCTTTTTTTTTTTTTTTTACATGTGAATGAGGCTATTATAATTGTATTCTCAACAAGTGTGTTGCAGATGGAGTTTGGTAGGACTCCATGTGTATTTAAATAAGATCTAATGGCCAGAGAGATATAATGTGAATCTTGTTAGGCATGTTGCAATATGTCCAATATAATTATTTATGAATATGGATTGGTCAGGGACACAGTTCCTTAAGGAACATCTGATAATAATTAATAAAATGGGGTTAGAAAATCATTTAAAGGGTCAAAAAGCGTAAAATTAATAAATAGGGCAGTTTTAATAAGCTTCTATGTAGCCCTGGCAAAGTACATGCTATGCAGCTAAGGAAAGGATCATTTGTTGATGACCCTGACTATGATCGATTCCTTTTTCTTTTCTTTTTTTTTTTTTTTTTTTTAAATAAGCTGGGGGAGTGGGGTCTGTTAGAAAATCACCCCCCACCAAGTAGTCTATCCCCCATCTGTTAGGCACCTAAGAGGCTTTTGTCTTTACCTAAAGATTGTACATCTGATGGATGCTGAAGAATAGATCAACTAAAATATTGTGGTTACATCATCACAATCACAAGTCCCATGACCCATGTTTGTTATCAGAGCACCACATGTACTGCAGCAGTTGTGTATCTTGGGCAAGATAGCCTAACAGATCCCAGGGTCCAGGCTAGTTTGAATTCTCCTTCTCCTAGACTGGTTGCCAACCAAGTATATAGGGCCAAGCCTGTCTTGTTATTTACCCATGCCTATAGCTCGCACAGAACAATCAGTCCTGTTACTTTTCAAACAGACCTTTTGTGTTTTTATATATATATATATATATATAAAATATTGTTTGTATTGTGTTGATGGATTCAACCATTTTCTTCTAATTTCTTGATATATTTGTGATGTACCTTGGCTTGAGAGAATAGTGATTCTGTTAGAAAAGGTAAAATTTTGGAAAAAAACCAGAGTGTAGATTAATATTTAGATAATATTCAATGGTGGCACTCTCAAGGATTTTCCTTCTGAGTGAATTTTTTTTTTTTTTATGAGTGTAGCATTTATAAAATCAAAATTGTGGTTGAATTTATTTCTATGTATAAATAGCGCATTTGTTAAATTGTTATTTATGAGGTCTCTTTTGTGTTCATAGATGTTTTTTTTTTTGTTTTTGTTTTTTTTAAATTTCTGCATGTTTCTCCAATGTATTGTGAGGAACAGTTTTGGAAATTTATTCAATATATGCCTGCTTCAGAAATATTATTGCTATGGGTATTTGTGGATCCAATTATATCCATAATGGTTTTGGAAGTGTTTGTGATTATTTGGATGTTGTTTAGATGCGATAGGTTGTTCTGGATAGTGGATGTGATGGAATTGGTCAGTAGTATTGTGTATCTGTTCTCACAAAATTTATTATTATGGATGTTGTTATTTTTGTTGCAGTTGTATATTTTGTATGCCTTTCTTCTTGCATTGTGGATGAAATGATATGGTATTGTAAGTTTTTGAATGTGTTTTCTATGTATGTTTTTTCTTTAGGTAAATATTGGGGGCTGCAAATTCTTACTGCTTTCAAATAGAAACCTATAATAATTCCAGATTTAATTTTAGAAGAGTGGTTTGAGTAGAAACTGATCAGGTCATTTTTGTTTGTAGCCTTTCTGTAAACGTCAAAATTAAGTTCACTATTGTTTCTGTGTAACATGATATCTAGGAAGAGAAGAGTTTAGTTGATTTCAGTTTCAAAGTGTTGAAGTCTGTTGTAGCTTCAACGTTAAATTGGTTGACAAGATCTGTTAAATTAGTATGTTGTGGATGTATTAGTTGTGAATCGTCTGTGCATCTGAAATACGAAGAGTTTGGAGGTAGATTGTTTTTGAATGAGTCACTTTCTAGAAACATTAAAAATAGACAAGCAATAACTCTGCTGAGAGGAGGGTCCCCACTCCCCAATATCACCTTTCCTAACAGAATCACTACTCTCCCAAGACAATGTACAACAAATATATCAAGAAATTGGTTGAATCTGTCAACACAACAATACAAACAATATTTCTACATGTGAAAATATTCTCTTCAAACAAAGTAATTGACAAAAATTTTCAGTTGACTAGATATATATATATATATATATATATATATATATATATATATATATATATATATATATATATATATCCATATATATATATGGAATTTGTAGGTCTGACAAATTGGATCGTGTTTACAATTCCAATGTAATAAATTATAACCATGTAATATTAGTGCTTGAGCCTTTTATATTATATATATATATATATATATATATCAGATAGAGTATATCTGTAAAAGGATTAAAATGAATAAAGACGAAAGGAAAACTTATCTTAGTCAATGTGTTTCATCCTCTGAGGGACTTTACCGAGGCAGATGCAAGGATTTTATTTTGTAACATGTAACTTACTCACTTTTATTTATTAGACATTGAATTGTGTCACTTTGCCTCATCCATAGCTTGCCTGACTTTTCAACCAAATATTTATGAGCATTCTTAAATTTAAAACTTTTTGAAAAAGCAATAACATTTTTGCTCTTGTATCTAAACACTTGTTACAAAATAAAATCCTTGCATTGATAAAGTCTCTGAGAGGATGAAATATATTGGCTAAGATAATTTTTTTCTTTATTCATATAGGATGTGTAATGGATAGCAGCTTGGAACAAGAAGTTGTAAAGCTGAGTTTTTTTACCTTCACTTATGTGTAAATATACTTGGGAACAGTATGAATTAATCTTTCCTCTATCCCCACTGTGGGTTAAATAGTAGGGCAGGCTGAGCTCGCCATCATTGCTAGGCAACCAGGTTAGAAGAACAACAACATTGAATTCAAAACCTGAGGAGAGTCGTACAGAAACCTTGTAGCACCCCTACATGCACTAGTTCTCTGTATTCAGTTCTTCCGAGAAGCACAGTTATTTCTGCACAAGCCTTCACCACTATAATTAAATATGAGCTGGTAATATGAATGTTCAGTTTAAGGAGTCAGCTACTGGAACCTCATATGTCAAAAACAATGGGACAGTCTATTATTTTATTATATATTTCATTTTCAAATAAATTTGTAGCTCATAAAATAATATTGCCTAAGGTATTTAGTTTATTTGTCCAACTGAGATGTCATTTAGATAATCTTTAAATAATCTCAGGGATTTGTAATGCTGTCAAGTAAGTTCTTTTGTGTCATTCTGATGAAGCAGTTAGCAATGTTTTTTTTTGTTATTTTCAGATAGAAAAAACAGTTGCCATGTATTTGGCTCGCTAAAAAGTCCTTTTGCTTATTGAGTAAAAAAAATGAACTTAATAAACCAAACAAGTTTTTTGGCCAAGCATGCATGCATACATACACACACTGAGTATATAGCTAATAAAATGTGTTCAAATTATTAGTTTAATCAATATGATGATGGTGATATTTTGAATTTTTATTAGATGACAATGTTTGTATTTATTTCATCTTGCTTTCAGTTGCTTTTTATCACATACAATCTGAACGTCATTAGTAAACAGCATTGATCAGAAATAAAAATTAAGCTCTTAGTCAGGCTTGCACTCACATCCTTCCTACCAGAAAAAGTCTATCATGATGATTTACACTCCTCCCCAGTCTTTTGAACAGAAGTAAAGGTTTATCCCTTTGTTTCCTGTTTAGGATTGGGTTTCCAGTTTTCTTCTAAAGTCTATTTCATCTCTATGCTTTTAACGTAGTAGATAGGTTTGCTTATCATCCATTTCACACTCCTCCTCTGTTTTTTGAACAGGAGAAGATGTTTATCCCTTTGTTTCCTGTTTAGGATTGGGTTTCCAGTTCCTTCTAAAGTCTACTTCAACTCTATACTCCTAACATCTTCACCTGAACTCTGAAAATTTTATTCGCTAATTAAGTCTTGACCTCTTCAAGTTTAAAATTAGCTGTCTATCTTTCCTGTTATCTTGCCCTTTCTTAAACTGATATAACTCTGCACAGTAACCCTCTATCTTGAGTGGCCCTTGTATTGGACGGCCATTAATAAAAAAAAAAAAATTAAAAAAACTCATCTAACCATTGAGTAATGAAAGCTACACATAAAAACCTTTTCTTATTTTTCCATGATCACTTAGTGCCAATATATTTGTTTTTTTATTACTGGCATTAATAACTGTAGAATGAATTTCTGAGTAGATGAAATAAAAAGAAACTGAAATTAAGATGAAAGAAATAATAATAAAAAAAAATTGGTTGAGCTTTGTTTGAAAATTTGAAATTGAAACTTTTTTTTTCTGCTTGTAGGTAATTCTAACTTGCTATTACGTAGTCGACTGGAATGCACAGTTTGTAAATTAAACACAGATGATACACAGAGCAAATGGAAGAATATTCTGGTAAGACATTTTGTTTTCAATTCTAATCTCAAAGAATATATCTTCCTCTGTTTTTTAAAGATCCCAAAAGGACCATCTTGGTTCCTTTTAAAAATTTTGTTTCTTACTTCTATTATCTTTGCTTTCAAAATGAAAAATAATACCATGACATTTACTTCTATTCATCTTAGATGCAACAATCAAAATTGTTACATAATTTATTCAATCCTGAATGCATTTGATTTTTATCTGCCATGAAAATAAAGATAAAATGGTCTAAATACATTCTGAAATCAATACTTCTAGGAAAATTGATCAAGACGTGTGACATTTAATTTTTCTGGAAGGAAAGAAAGAAAATGCTGCCTGCTGATGGTCACCTTAGCAACCAATCTAAAACATTCTAGTGTTTTGTCCACAGTCATAAAATAGAGATAATCTTGCTTGTTAATGTTAAAAATTAATCACATTGTCCCTGAAATTAAAAAAAAAAGTTTTATAAGTCAAAGTGGGCTGTTTCATGCAAGCAAACAAGACTTGAAAGACATTGTTTCAGTAGGAGATGATTTATTAAATTATAATTCCAACAATGCATTTCCCTCCTTATGTGCCGAGTTATCAGAAACCAGTTAGAATTGAATCTGTAACTGCCTTTTAGCAGCTTTGTGGATGTGTGGGTGGTGTAATGAAACAGTATCTCAGAATGAGAAATTAGAGAGCTGAGTTCAAATCCCAGTTGTTTGTTACAGTCACTTACACATAAATACTCTTGGGAAAGATATAAATTCATCTCCTTCCCCCAGCTATGGATTGAATAGTAGGACCTGTATCTAGAAAAATCATTTCTCAAAAAATTGTTAATGCAATATTTACTTGAAAAAATGATTCATTATTACAATCCAAAGTATGTTTTGGGTTTAAATAGCTTACAAAGGGTTGATAGGCCATAAAAATAAATCAATCAATATAGCTTGTATAATAATATTTTTGCACACACACACACACATACATATATATATATATATATATATATATATATATAGTGGACACTGAGGTCAACCCCATGCAGTGACAGTCTGTTTTAAGCCATGAAGATTTTGTTTTAGCATGAAACTGCCACTATGTATGTGTATATGTATACAAGTTTTATGGAAGACAACTTACAAGGTACAGCAATTAAGCTTTTTATCCACTTGTGTTTGTATAAGTGTTTTCTGGTCATAAAATGTGTAAAAACTGTCTGAATGTTCTGTATATCTGAAAGCTTTTGACTATTTTATTATTCAATATGAAGGATATTTTCTTATTTTTATTTTTAACTTAATGTGTAGATTTTTATATACGTGTATCTAGAGTGATGGTAATGTTTTTTATTTTCCAGACACTTGTGGCCATGTTCATAGTTGATGTTATTGAGTGTTGGCTTTTCTTCTTTTGCTTCCATTATTTTTAACATGCAAATCAGTCTATTACAGTTATATTTTCTACAAGTATGTTGCAGATGGAGTTTGGTAGGCTTCTGTGTATATTTAAATGAGTCTTAATTGAGCTATGGTCAGAGAGATGTACCATGAGCCTTCTTGATAGGCATGTAGTGGTATGTCCAATATAATTATTTATGAATTTGATTTGATAAGGAACACAGTTCCTTATAGGACATGTGAATTCATAGATTGGTTCTCTGTCATTTGGATCTTGCAGGCGAGTTGTTGATAAGGTTAGCTGTTTTAAATTTTTTATAGTAGATAGTTAAATTTTCTTGTTGACTGGGGTTGTGTATTTCTTTATAATATTTTTAAGGGAAAATTCATCCTGCTTGTAGTTAACAAGTATTTGATTTTTATAGAAAATGTTAATGTTTTTATTTGTATGTTCAGTGTTGCTACTGGTTACCTTAAAAATAGTCTAATTTGGTAATCTATAAGGTAGTTTGAAAAACCGTTATTAACTAGCATCTCTTTCATGTTGTTGAGTTCTTTAAAGAAAAATGTGCTCTCTTGAAATTTCTTATAACATCTATTTTATATTTAAGTGGACATTTACTCATAAAATTATGGTGGCAAGAATTTCTGCTTGTGGGGTTTTTTGTATAACGAAGTGGTGAATATGTTATTACTAGATTCTATAAGAATATGGGAGTTTTTTGGGGGTTTTTTTTATTAAGTTCATAGGTCAAGTTAAGAATTGAGTTTTTTCAAATGTAAAAAAAAACAAAAATTGATAATCTCAAAACTACATTGTGATAATCTCAAAATTATGTGCGTATGTGCATGCATGCATGTATGTACATGCATTTGTGTGTATTTACATACACATATGTAAATATGCATGTATGTGTATGTATGCATATAAAATAAATTTTCTCAATGTTTACATTAATCCTGACCACTGCCAAAATATTTTTTTTCTCAAGTAAATGTTTATTCATTAATCATACAGTGTTATAATGATCTGATTTCTGTATTTATTGCCGTATTACAGCCAAAACAGCACATTGAAGTGTAATGTTGTTGAAAATCTTGGAGAATAAAGCAATTTCCCATCCAATTAGGCCACTAGTTTCAGAGAAATCATTAATTAAGCATATATTCATGATGGAGGAATTCCTGGTTTATTAATTGTTAATTGGTCATTTTTCTAACTTTTCTTAATAAGAAAATAAAAGGAATGAACAAGGAAGAATCCTTGATATGTTTATTCACTCTTCTTAGTCTACCAGTGAGAATACTTTAATAATAAATAATTAAGTGTAGTGATAATTAATCAAACAATTATAATATAAATTTTACAAATAGAATGTGATATGATATTGAATGCAACATTTAAGAAAATATATATTTTAAATATTTAACATTAGTGTTTAAATTATGAGGTTTCCAAAAAAAATCTTGAATTTATTTTGTTTTTTTTTTTTATTCTCAAATGCTCAAAAGTACCATGTTTAATGAATCTTTTTTTCTAGGTCCTAAATGAAGTTGTACTAGATCGTGGTTTGTCACCTTACCTGTGTAATTTGGACTTGTATGTAGAGAAACATTTGGTTACGTCTATTCAGGGTGATGGTAAGTATGTTTATTTTTTCAACACTGTATCATTCTAATCCCAGAAGCTACAAAACTAGTTTAATATGCATAAAACTATTACCAACTAATAATGAATTGCACAACATTGCATACAAAATTTGAAGATTTTGTTGTTCATTATACAGCAGTGATTCACAATCTGTCTCTCTAATACACTCTGATACTAGGCTAAGTTGTGTAAGGAAATGTAAGGCTAATTGTTACTTTTTTGGTTTTTTTAATTTCTATAGTCATAAATAATGAGGTCAAAGTCAAATTACTGTCTATTTTTATTTTCAAGAATCATGACATTTGTCTTTGTAGGACATTTCACAAAAATCTGGTTGAACTTGTCTTTTGACATTTCAGAACTAATCCCAAAATAGTTGTCTACTCTCTCCATCATCCCGACAATAAGATTTCAAAAAACATTTATGTTAATACAATGGTTTGCATGCTGGTTTCAAAATTCAGGTGATCTAGAAATGTAGCCTTGTGTCAAAATTGGCTTAATAAATACTGATAATATACTTTAATAAGAAAAACTCAAAAACCAACCAATTTTGTTGATTCTTAATTATTAGCAATATTTGATCACATATACAGAATGCTATCTAAAAGCTCAGGGAACCTGGCCATGAAAAGGAACCTTAGCCTAATATTTAGTTTCCACTGGCTCTTTTGAAGTAATTTTCTTGTGAGCCAGTTAGCTGACTCACAAGAAGCAATAGCAAGTCTGTAAGACATTTGCTTTACATGTGCCATGTCAAAAATCATCCCTTTGTTTATCACAAAGATACAGTTATTTGGAAGCAATTCTGAATATATTTCTATTTAAACTTTGCTATATTATATATTATGTCTAAAGAATTAATGGATTTTATTTTTTTAATCTGACATATTTTTGTTAATTCAAAAATTATTTTTAGTGGATACTTGTATTCAAACTTTTGAACTTTGCTGGAAGACACATTTTAAATACTGTTTAAAATAAAATGGAGCCTCTACCCAAATATGGATATTCACTAAAAATAACAATTAATAAAAATATTAAATGTCTAAATTTTTCAGAAGAAAATTTATCATCATTATACACTTGTAGTACTGCCGTCATCTTAGCTATTATAGTCACATACTCTCCCCTAGTTCAAGTGGGGGTACAAATTTCTTGCAAAATTTTAGTGGCAGGTGGGCAAAATAATTTGGTAGCCCTGACATCACCTGTTTTAACACACATGCTGAGAAGGTTGGCATGAAGTATAAAAAAAACTTTAAGTTGCTGGGGTTGTTATAAAAGTGGGTATAATTGTTGAAAAGATGGCAGTTGACCTTCCTTTATAAAGCATGAGCAAGTATGTCAGCCATTGTACCTGCTAGTTTTCTTTAGATGTCATTAAAATTCTAGGAATTTTAAACTGAACCCTTTATTCAAAGCACACAAGTAGATTGATTTCATTCTATTTAAAACATATTGCTGTTATTGCAACAGCTAACTTTACATAAAATTTATTCAGATATAAAACAAATGTTGATCACCATAACAATGGGCTCGAGGGACAAGGATAAAACCATTTACATAAATCTTCGTAATTCTTAAATAAACATTTCACAGTTATAAGCTTATAATCTTGTAATCCTTATTTGAGTTACAACAAAAGTTTTTAAAATGATTTCTATAGAGCAGCATTTTTTTAAAATGATTTCTATAGAGCATGGTGCAGCATGCCTCAGATGTTTAGCAGAAGAGGGTAGTCGGTGAGGCGGAATGATTGAAAGACAATCAAAGATTAAGAAACAGTTTCAAAAAATTCATATGCCAAAAATAAATATGATTTCAAAATTTAAAATGATACTATGGATTACTTGTAATTGTATGCATGAATCTCAGTATAAATAGTTATAAATAATTATTGACCGATTTTAACATTGTGATATTTTTACATTATATCAAGTATTAAAAATATAGTAACTAGGGTCTGCAATCTGGAGAAGAGAGTTATCAATGAAAATGTTCTGATTTTGAATCTGTAATATCTCTTTTAACCCTGTCTCTGTGTTTTTTTTAAATTTTTTTTTTTATATTTTTAAATGTACTTTTTATCACATAAAATTTGGTGAGGCATGAGAAAATTTTAATTACAAAAATGCGGCCCAAAGGAAAAAAGTTTGGAACCATTGCTATAGAACATTGTTTCTCAACCAGGGTGCACTTTAAATTTTAATAAGGAAAAATTGGTCATCAAATTTGAAACTTTTGTTTAGCATTCCCAAGGAAGGTTAGCGGTACAGTTTTCATTTAAAGGGCTTTATGAAGAATCTACCTTTTTAGAGAGGCTGATTTAAATTCCTTGAGGAAGGCAAAAAGGAAAGGATTATCTGCTCGTTTCTAAAGATTAAGGAATATAACATCCAGTTCAAATTATCAAATGACAAAGAATTTATGCCTCTAGCTTTTTAAAAATAAAGATTGTTTTTTAAAATATAAAAATAATTCATAAATTACTCTTTCGTTAACTTTGGAGGCACCTTTCAGGATACATTAGTGCACCAGTTGAAAAATGCTGCTATAGAGATAAAGTATTAATAGAAATTGTACAATTCTTTACAAATACTTTTTCTTTTTTTTTGTGTGTGATCATTTAATCGGTCTTTTTTTATCCTTTGAGGAGTGATAATCTCAACTCCTACAGGGAGTACAGCATACGCAGTGGCAGCAGGTGCTTCCATGATGCATCCCAGTGTTCCCTCCATAATGATCACACCTATCTGCCCTCATTCGCTCTCATTTCGACCAATTGTCGTGCCTGCTGAAGTGGAAATTAAAGTAAATATTCTATTTTCTTCATACTTACATAATTTTCATTACATCACATACTATATCATTTCTTTTTACTCTCTACATTAAAAGTCTGTTTTCTTGCTACATATTTCATTATGCCTTACATATTGTATTATGCCTTCAATTGAGATTTAAGCATCATTTATACTACAGAAGGGATGCAGTTGGCGTATTCTAAGCCACACCAAAAAACAGTGGGAAGTTATTGATGCAGTAGGTGATGCAGAAAGTAAGATAGCAATACCTTTTGCAGTTACTATTGTGCAAGAATTGACAAAAGTTCTCAAACAATAAGAAATATATGTGTAATATTGGAGGAATCGAGACTTTTATCATAGTCTCAGTTATGGTGGACTGGTCATGTCTTGAGAATGTCCGATGACAGGATACCCAAGATCCTAATGTACAGTCAGTTAGATCAGGGCTACAGGAATGTAGGATGCCCATGGCTGAGATACAAAGACAAGCTGAAAAGCAATTTGTCAGCAGTCAATATACCACATAACACCCTTGAGCGCTTAGCTTTGGAGCGGGTAGAATGGCGATCAACATGTTTTAGTGGACTCAGCAATTTTCAATCTGCTTGTCTGAATCATCTTAAAGAAGTGAGAGCAAGATCTAAAAGGTCAGCCAATCTAACAGTGATCTCATCTCACAATCCTCACACTGGCTCCATATGTGGCCTCTTTTGTAAATCACTAGCAGATCTTAAATGCCACTTAAGATTATTGCATAAACTTTCATAACTGAATCAATAAGCAGTCAGATCCTCATATGTCGAAACCGACAGGAGAGTCCATTATATATATATAATCCCAGCTTTGACTGGAATTTGTATTCTTTAAATATATTAAGCCCAAGCCGGCTTCCCCAATGACATTAACTCTTCCTCTGGAGGCGGCTGGGTTTATTGCCTGGTGTCCTCCAAAAGGTGAAGTGCCGAGGGGGCTTGGCTGTTTTTCTATCATACAGCTGATAAACCCACTTTATAAAATTTTCGTTTTAACATATTCACCTAAGACAACTTATGGTTTATTTTGGGAAATCACATTAAATTTATTAAACTATAAAGGATGTTACTAATATCGGTCCTTGGAACTGTTTGTTTTTTGTACCATGTTAAACATTTGTGCATCATGGTTAGTATTTTAAACCCCCCCCCTCAAAAGTGCTACAAGTCCAGGTAAAAAATCAAAAACTGAGAATAGATGAGTTGTCATAGAAAAACTGTCATGTGGCAGAAAATTTAATTATTTTTAAAAATTTTATGACTAAAAAAATGTTATTAAATCAATAAAGAATAGATTGGTTGAAATTTTTGTCTTACAAGATAAATTTTAAATTATATATTTTAAATAAAATACTTAGTTTCAATTTAAATGTTTCATTACTAGATTTAATTTCTTTTTTTCTTCTTTTTATTAAGCTGATTGTTTCAAAAGAATCACGTAACACTGCCTGGGTCTCATTTGATGGACGAAGCCGGCAAGAATTGCAAATTGGAGATTGGTAAGAAAAGACAAAATTTATTCTGATATTAAAAAAAAAAATCTAACATTTCTGGAACTGTGTTTTCACTATGTAAATTTTGTCTAATTCAACATTTTATGAAGTTAGATATTGTTATTTTAACCATTCCATTTTTGGAAAATTATTAACATCTCAAAACAAAGAATTCTGAGAGATAAGATTTTTTTATGTATTTTTTTTTAACTATGCCTGAATAAAAAAAAAAAAATCTTTTGGCAAAAGTTCTTTTTGGAGTCTCTTGACAAAAAAAAGAAAGACACCTTAGTCTGTAATTTAAATTTATTTAATATGAGGTCTCTTCCAAGATTTTTATGATTGATTAAAGTATAATTTGAAACTTTCAGAATCAGTTTGTCTGATAAGTTGAGTGTGAAAGGGGAAATCTATATCATTGTATTTTTCAGTTGTGTGAAAAGGATTTGTTTCAAATTCAATTCTTTTCTCGTAGATTGTCTCTTGCCCAGAATAGTGTAGAATAAGACTAGCAGATTCAAATATTTTTTAACTAAATTGTCTTCATTGTAACTATTTATTAAGCCAGGAATCCTGTGAGGATTAAACTTTCACCATTTGACGAGACTTGGGTTCAAGATAAAAATGTCTGATTTTGGCAAATCATAAAGGTGTCATTTTTCACCACAACACAAAACTGCATGTTGCAAAAAAAGTTTTTTTTTTCTTTCTTTCTTTTCTGGATAAAAGGTGGGCAATCTTATCTACCATCAAATACACTACCTACTCATATTTAAAATGTAATCTTCATTTTCAAATTCATTTGTTGGTGAGGAATAATATCGATAATTAACTTTTCAAGGAAACATGCAAGAATTTTTCCCCCCCACTACCATGTTACCTGTTGATCCAGGTAACCTTTAGGAAATTTCAAACTAAATTCTTTATTAAATATACAGAGTTAGAGATTCTATTGTCTATATCTAGGGATTGCTTGTCATCCAATTTAGTACTGCTCAGTTATTGATTGCCCCATTTCCACTGACTCTAAGACTTGCAATACTAGGTTTGAACTCACGATTACAATACTATTGCCAGGAATTCTACTTTCTATTTAAGCAACTTGAGAATTCTTGTGCAAAAATTAAACAACCCAAGTACTGATCAAAATACTGAACTATTATGTAATATTTGTCCAGCATTCATTGCCACATATGAAGACTATCTCCATAGGTAAGAAAAGACTTAAGGCAACAGAAATGTGGTTCTACAGAAGGATGCTGAGAAAATCATGGACCAAACATGAAGTTTTAGAGAAAATGGGGAAAAAAAGAACATTTGTACTTAACATCAGTAAGAGACTGTTGAATTTTCTAGGGCACATAATGAAGAAAGAGGGCTTGGAAAATTTGATAACTCACATGACATATTGAAGGCAAGAGTGACAGAGAAAAAACAATAGAGAGCATGAGTAAATGTATGGCAGAACAGGGTTTAGAAGAAATAACAACAAAAAGACAAAATTTATTAAGAGCAACAAAGGATAGGAAGATTGTGGAGAGCTATGATAGCCTACATCCTGAAGAAGTTTATTTGGATTATTTAAAATACATTCTGCAGTGTTCTCTTTAAATTTGTAAACAGGCCTTTTGAAATTAAGATTTATAATAGATATTGATTGATAATGTAGTGTTGGTTTCTTTATCAAATATATGGAAAGATAATCATTTTTATTATATTGGGGGGGGGACATTCCCATATCTTGGTATAGTCTGTCTTGTTTCTGCAAATATTGTATAACATTTATAGATTCAAATAGCTTTATTCATTTTCTTTTCCAGTGTCAAAATCAAAACTGCAGTTCATCCGTTCCCTTCAATATGCCTGAAGGATCCAATAGATGATTGGTTCAACAGCCTCGCAGAATGTCTGCATTGGAACATGCGAAAACTTCAGCGTGGGCCTTCTTCTACACCGAGTATGGTCAGCTTGGATTCTGTTGAATTTGAACATAATCATTGTACATAACCCATTTCCTCTTGTCCACTGTCAGCTAAGAAGCATGTCAGCAGAATGATTGCAATAAACACCACAAAGAATGCTGCATATGCATTGACTGCTACTCAGATCAGTTAATGCTTCTTAAGTTGTCATACAGATGAACAGAAAGATGCAGATTTGAGATCTGTCTATTGAATTTGGGCTGCAGAGGTTACGCATAACCAGAATCTCACTTGTCCCCCCCCCCTTTTTTTTTCCTCTTTTCATCCTACTCTCTTCTTTCTTTCCACCTACAATTTTTTTAACCTTCTCTCTGCATTGTTGGATGACAAATTATAAAAGGGACCATTGTCTATAAACTTTAATTCTTGAAAAAAATTTTTTTTACCCAACCCCATTGGAGTTTAAGTGGACCTGTTGAATATGATTCACTTTTTCATTCCAAATTTTCTTATTGAATTCAATTGACATTAAAAACATTATTTTGTCTAGGCATTCATCTATTTTGTATTTTTATTAGTCATTTACGGAACAGTTTAACAGAATCTTTGACTTTCAAATTGAACATGTTCAAATATTTTATAAAAACATGTTTGAAGCTCTTGATGAAATTTTTTTTTTTTTTAAACTTATAAAAGAGGGAGCAAGTTGAAAAATTAATTACTTATGGTAAATCCAACAAAAGTTGTGCCCAGTTTCATCATCTGAAGTGTATTACACAAGTCTGGTCATGTGTTGTTGTAAAATCTTGTGTTTATTATTTCTAATCTCCTCAGTTTTTTTTTTTGTCTTTCAAAATATCATTTATACTTGATAATTTATTCACAGCAACTTAGAATCTACTAAACTGATGAGGATCGTTTGCTTCAATCGATCACCTTAACTTACCTGTTTCTATTAACAGCAAAACAAATCTTTAGTAGCTAAAAAAAAAAAAAATATACCAAGTCGGCCTGAAAAGAAAGTTTTTGTTATAATAAGGAATAAAGTGCTATTACATTTAATGCCAGAGTATATTAATATTTCCATTACCTTGTTAATTGGTGCTGAAGGTGTTAAGCTAAGTTTTCTCATAAAATGCAATCAATAAATTACCAATGTGTGGATACACAAAAAAGAATCAATGTAACTAAACAAGTGAGAGGAAATGATCATAGCTGTTCCTAATTAGAAAAAAAGTGATTTTTATTATGTGTGTGTGTTTTTAAATTTGTTGGCAGATTAATTTTTGTTAACTGAAAACATAGATGAATTAAAATTATTAAAAATAACTTCATTGATATAACACATTTAGTCAATATGCCTCACATATACTTCAACAAGATTTTTTTTTTTTTAAACTAAGAATGGTAGTCCAGCAAGAAAATGATAGCATTCTTAGTTTTTAAAAAATATGAACAAAACTTTTTTGTAGTTTATTTCAATATAGTATATTGAATTGAAAAGCAGGAACAGTTGCAAAATGAATAATGCAGTAAGTCTATTATTTCTGTTAAATAATCATTATCTAATACTTGTTTTGGCACAAGGATACATTTGTAGACTACTCAGACTTGAACTCATTCCTAATAAATTAATCAGTCTCCAGTAAGTGCTAGGTTTAATATAACTCACTGTAACCATTGAAAACAAGTTATGTATTTGTTTGTTTTTGTACTTATTCTGTATGCATGTGAATTATCAACCAAAAAGGCTCACAAAAATAAAGGAAAATAAAAACTGAATATTATTCTGAGATATAAACGAGTTAAGTGTAAGGCAAAAAAAAAGGGGGGGGTATCATATTTTGTAAATATTTGATGCATTTTTAAACTAAAAGATTCTGTAAAAATAAAGAAAATGACATTCAAATTTTAAGTCTTGTTATCAAAATGCAGCATTATTATTTTATATATATATATATATATATATATATATATATATATATATGGCAGTAATTTGAATAAAAAAAACAAAGCATAAACTGAGAAATAAGAGCATAACTTTATTTTATACATGTGTATTTTTTTCGCCACAATTTTCTTTAAGAGGAATGAAATTTTTTTTTTTTTTTTTTTTTTTTTTTAAGTCATCTCCCTGTTGCCCCTATGGAAGGAAAGTTCTGGCTTCAGGGTTTCATTTTTTAATATAAATCAAAGATTTGCAACCAAGTATCATATGCTAAAGATTCAAAGAATTTAGTTAAGGGACATCAGGTTCTAACCAACCAACCTAATACTTGCTATGGCACAAACCAAAGAGACCTATTTCTTTTAGTAATCAGTCTTGTACCTTTGACTAGTGAGCATGGTGGGGCAGCTGTATTATTCTTTGCAAGAAAAAAGAACTTCCTTTGTACATCTCATGATGTAGGAAAATTAGGGCTCATGTCTTGAGAAAGGATTTTATCAGTTTCAATGTATTATCCAAGTAAATATACTTGTAATGGAAGCAAATTCAAGGCCCTAATTTTGTTGTTGCTTCATATGGAATTGAACTTATTTAAAATAGATTTTACATTTTTAAGTTGGTACCAACCAAATTCCACAAACTTTGCATCAATGAATTATTCATTGTGTACTTCATATGAAATGTATTTTTCTTTTACAGTTTCCTTATCTCTAAACTAGAAAGTTACTTAAAATCTTGAATTTAAGTTTCTATGAAGAGAGTAAGATTTAGTTAAATTAACTAAATCTTTAACTTTGAAAGGCCTATTTTGAATAAACACAAGTTATATTTCAAACCAACGAGACCCATTTCTTTTATCAATTAGTCTAGTACCTTTGACTAGGGGGATGATCACCCCCCCCCCACTAAAGTAATAGTGACAATGCTGCTGCTGCTGCTGCTGCTACTACTATACAATCACAATATGAACTAAAGTCAGAAACTTTAATGTTTAACTGATCTGTTAATAGTTAATTCATATTGTTGATTTTACAAGCACTGGTTTGACAAGTAAGAAAGATAGTAACAAAGTTTAACCATTACACTATTCAGAATAGAACCTGAAGCCTCTCATCCTCCAATTCATTTCAGTAATAATTGAGCTAAATCTATAAAAGCAAATGTACCTAAATAAAGTACAGAAGCCAGTGACCATACAATTAAAAATTTAATGCTTGTCAAGTAAAGATGGCAAATTATTTTCTTTTAAAAAAGCTCTTAAAAAGTAAGAATTATTTCATGACAAGGAAGAATTTTGCTTCAAAGTATCTAAAGAATTTTAACTGGACTGTACGTTTTATATTCAGAACTTCCATTGCATTATAATGAAGTAATTCCACATCAGAGATATCATTGCTCTTGTCTCAAGTTCAGTAAATTAAGAATTATAAATTAAAGGAAAAAAAAAAAACTGGAATGTTGCAACATGGCAGGATAGAAAAACGGGCTGCAGGGAGAGGAAAAAATTTAATAAGCAAGGAAGGGATTTTTAATTATCAGTCAGGTTTAAAATAACTGATATCAAAAACGTTTTTAATGTTCAAATGACCGTTTATAATTTGATGATATTCTAACTCTTACTGACAAAGACACCAAAATAACTGTACAGGTTGAAAGAGCAACAATAACATTAAAAATTTCTCTGAATCAAAAAAAAAAAAAAAAAAAAAAAAAAAAAACACAAACAATTTTGGTATCTTTAACCACCACCAGCCAGCAACAGTTAGTAACAAACATTTTGAACTTAGAGATATGTATGAATTAAACTATTTCCATAACAATTAAAAGCAATTCATAATTTTTCTTGTTCATGTCAGTTTATCTTCTTTGTCCCTTTTATTAGGCAAGACAAAAAAATTTAGGCAATGAAACAACATTTGATAAAGTTTATTAAGGAAAAGGATTACTTTTAATTTGCTTTCAGTCTAAATTTTTTACTACAGGATAAGAAAAAAAATCTTAGCAAAAATCAGTTATTAATTTCTCCCACACTAACACAACCTCAAAAAATGTAAGATTTTTTTTTAATGGATTCTTTGTAGATTATTTGGCAGGCACAAGAAACTTTCATGCCTTTGTGTTATTGAACTGAAAGTGTTCAGAAATTTGTTTAAGTTGTTCTCTTGTTTTGTTTTTTTTTTTTTTTTTACAAAAAAAAAAGACATTGGACATTTAAAAGAACACCAGCTTGTTCAAATATTTAAGCCTTGAAGAGGGGGAAAAATACTGGAACTTAGGTTTCAAGAATAAAATTTACATTATATCATTAAAAAAAAAAAAAAAAAAAAAAAATAATAAAGTAGCAGAAAGTGAAAAAATATCAATGGCCTCATTTGTGTCAAAAAGTTTACCATTTACTCCCTGGTATGTTTCATCTGTATCCATTTATTCATTCAGAGTCTCACATGACAAACAATTGTTACTCAGCCTTCTGATTGCTTACTTTTTGTTTTTATTCACATTGGCAACAAATGCTCATCTCTTTCATCATCATCATCTTGCAACTGATCATCCCCAATGCCTTTGTAGGTTTTGGGTTGCCCTTGATTTCCTGATCGACAAGCCAAATTGCATCCATCCTAGTGCAGGAGAGAAAAAAAATTCAGTATATTTTTAAGCATTCACGTGTATGAATTTTTTTTTTTTTTTTTGCTACTTAAGTTAATATTTCATAAGTTGCCTATCAAATAGTTATCAGACACAGAAAAATATTTTGAAAAGCTTTTAAAATAAAAAATACATTTTAATAGGTCATTGGTCCAAGTGCAAGAAAAATTTTCCTTATATAACAAGACTTCATTACTGTTGACTAGTTTTTCTATTAAGATTTTCTATAAAGCTTGCACAGAGTATCAGTTTTCAGTGTAAAACTAGAGTTGACTCTTCCAATTAGAGTAATTAATAAAATTTGAATAAATTCTCATGAAAAACTTTTTACAATGCTTTATGCAACTGCTGCAGTTGGAAAAGTCAACTCAAGGTGAACAACTCCAGCTTCCTAGCTACACATTTGTACAACTAATTCTCTTTATAATGAGATTGGCATTTAACACATCACCGTCTGAAGTCTTTTACCAAGACACAAGCATGTAGGTAAATCACTAAGACATAATAATTGATAGTTTGACAAACTAAAAAGCTTATCAATTGAATTGTTATTTAAAGAGAAATTCAAATCCCCACTCCACGGACTATTGTTGTATGAATAATAATATTAAAAAAAAAAAAAAAGGACAACATTACTTACAGAAAGAAGATTTCCAAAGTCTTGCCAAAAGCCATAATTTGGAATTTGTTCATAACCTTTTGCTCCAAGCACAAATCGCATATACATGAAGCCTCCGATCAGGTAAACAAAAACAGCACACAAAAATCTGGGAGAAAAAAAAAATTTAATAAGAACTTTATATTTTCATATCACACGGATATCTAAAGCTGGTTTTAAAAAAAGTGGCAGGTAGGACATTACAGTTACAAGAAATGTTTAAATCTAGCCTAAAACAAAAAGTATTAACAAAAGTATCAGCAGAAAGGTAAAGAATAACTTACATAATGACTATGATAGAACCGGTACCGAGTCCAACTGTTATAAAGGGTTCCTTATAACAGACACAATTATGTGACAATTCAAACAAGTAATAGCAACCAGAGGTTTTATTTCGGTTCTCTTCTATTACCCGCAATTTAGGATTGTCCTAGAGAGAAGAAAGAAAAATAGTCAATGATTAATTTCAGAATGATCAAACCATTCCCAAAGCATTTATTTGTTGCTGCATTATTCACTAAAACAAATATTCAAATATTCTCAGTCCATCATTTACAATTAGGATAAACCATTTTTTTTATTTATTCAAATGTTAAAGTTATTTGAAAAAAAAAAAAAAATATATAAAAATTTCACTATTAAATTCTCCCTTAACTTATTTTTCAAGATTTGTTCAGATTCATTGTATTGCTAAGATTCAATTTGGAGCATTTAGCGAGTGAATAATGTGTAAAGATTTTTTTTTTTTTTAATGGACAATACACCAAAAGAAAAAAATGTTAACATCAGCAATGGCCTTGATTATTCAAACAAATGTTGGCACCTTAAATTAATTATATACAATTTATGTGAAAATTAACAAAAACAAATAAAAAACATGAAGACTGATTTCTTTGAAGTAAGGGCATTTTATAGAAGTATAGTTGTTTTTAATAAATCCTAGGATTTTAAATTATCAAAAACTTATTAAGTTGTTTGTCAATAAAACTGGAATATGTCTAAGTGAGAGAATCTCATGCACATAACGAAAAAGCTGATATTTTGCTAAAACTATTTCAATCTTGTAAAAACTTCATTTTATAATCAAATCAGTTTTGTTAACCTTAATTTTCCAAGGTAGCTTTTTCAAGACAACTGCTTTACCAATTAAGCTACAGAAGCCAACCAGTGCAATTGATAGAGCATTTGCCCTGGAGAGTACATTACTAAAGTGAAGTAATGCAATAACTCTCTTATTAAAGGGTTATTCTTCATTTCAGATTCATGTCCCTTATTAACAATCATGGAATGATGATCTGAAAATTTACAATAAAAAGCATGAGAAAAGAAAAGAAAATGAAAAAATGTTTCTCCAAATATTAATAAATGACAATGCTTCATATAAGAAATCCAAATGCACTTGTGCTGAAATTTTTCCTTAGCTTAACACAATGGCTCTGAGAGGCTAAACATCCTTAACCAGCAAAGCAAATTACGTTTTCCTCTTGAAAAATAAAATTTCAGATGATTCTGCAAAAACCAAACACTTTTTCTTTTATCTGGATTATGATAAATTTTACTACTATACATACTCTGGTATAAGATAACTTTATGTATCGTGTGAACAAGGAATTATTTTTTATTTTTGTATTTATTATTCTTAACCCATCCAGAAAAAATTATACCTGTACATAGTGCAACCTGTTCACCAATTTAACCTCTTTGAACAAAGGAAAAAAAAAAAAAAAAAAAACGTATCGTGCAACTCCCTATTTTTGGTGTAAAAATTTCTGATAATATAGACAAGGCCATCTCCCTACACCTGCCTGCTATCATATTCATGTTCAGGTGGCTTGAACACACTGTCACTGACCCTGAAACTTTCAATCACTTATGCAAGTGGTTGACTTTCCTACACATCTCCCCAGTAACCCTGACGGAAACACTTCTCTTCTCGATCTCTTTTTCCTCTATCCCTGACTCTTGTCATGCAACACAGCTCTGCCCCCTTGGCAACTCTGATCATGCAGTAGTGTCTGTAAGCCTTTCCTTCCACTCCCCCCACCAGACCTGTACCTCCTACCAATAGAATATCTTTCTGTTATCAATGAGCAAACTGGAACTTGTTCTGTGATGTCCCTTGGAATTACCATTCAAAAATACGTGTCTGAGATTTCCCCCTAGGTGAAAGCCAGCATTGATGCTTTACGTTCATATCCTTGGTTCTCACCTGTTTGCTCGACTGCTGTAGCCCATAGGTATCACTTCTTCCAACTCTACCATAGCAATTTGTCCGATTGAAACTGACATCTCTTTGACTCTGTTCCTAAAGAGTGCAAGTGTGTCCTCAAGGAAGCAAAGTTACTATTTGCTGATAGAATGAAACAACATATAACATCTTGCAGAGCTGCCAATAATCTCTAGAGCCGAACTTGCAAGAGTGTGCTGAACAGCAAATCCTCCATCCCTCCTCTATTCAATCAATTCGAAGTCCTAACATCTACAGCAGATAAGACTAAATACTTTGCTCAGAAATTCTCTTCCAAATCAACACTTAACTCATCTGGACTGCCTACACCTGACTCCACCCACCCAGAATTGAGGCAATGTATATAACCCCATCAATGGTCACTGACATCATTTCTAAATTAGACTCCCATAAAGGTGATGGGGATGATGGGATACCAGGTGACATCCTAAAGAAATGTGCCCCCGTGCTGGCTCCAGTTCTCTCCAAGCTATACAACTATTGCCTCACTGATTCCTAGCTTGTTGGAAGTCCTCCTCTGTTGTCCATCTTTAAGAACTCAAGAGAACCTTCTGACCCCTCTGCCACCCTATCAGTTTTCAGCAAAGCCTTCAAGGCTGTAATCAATACCAGAGTGATTAAGCATCTTACCTATCACTATTTACTCTGACAAACAAATCCATTTTACCCACTACCACTGACATACTTATGACCATAACTTATATATATATATATATATATATATATATATATATATATATATATATATATAAAAATCAAGCTTTCAATAATAATGGCAAAGCTTGAGCTGTGGCTCTAGATATCTTGAAGGCATTTGGCATGGTTTGACATGCTGGTCTTCTATGTAAGATTCAGGGCTACAGTATTACAGGACATTTAGTTGATTTAATCTAATCATTCCTATCTGATCGGGACTAGTTCCTTTCATACTAATGTGGGTGTTCCCCAAGGCTCTATCCTGGGTCCTCCACTGTTTCTGATCTTCATGCATGATCTCCCTGATGTCATCAGTTCTCAAGTAGGCATCTATGCAGACAACATTACCATTTACTCCTGTCTCAATAGTAAGCCTGGCAGTGTTGACAAAGTTAACTTGGCTGTTGCTCTCAAAAAGTACCTCCAATCAGGGGTAGACTGGGACAGGAAATGGCTGGTAACTAATGCCTCCAAAACAAAACTGCTTTCATTTAACCACCAAAGAGAACCTTTTCTGCCTGTCATCAGCATGGTTGACACTAGGCTCCAGGAGAGCAACATACTGCGTCGTCTTGGCCTCACATTTTCAATTGACTTGAAGAGGAACAACTACATTGAATCAATAGTTTCATCTAATGCAAGGAAAGTTGGTTCACTGTGTCATGCCAGAAAGTATTTCTTGACAGAGTCTATCTTACACATCTACAAATCTACGATTTGTCCATGCATTGAATACTGTTGCTATATCTGGTCTGGTGTCACTGCTGTTCATCTCAAGGTTCTTGACAAAATCCAAATAATGATCTGTAATATAATCAGTCCTGGATTGGCTTCTTGATTTCAGACACTTTCTTACAGACATGATGTGACTTCCCTCTGTCTTTTTCTACAAATGTTTTCATGGCCACTGCTCTGTCAAGCTTTTTTTCCCCCCTGGTGCCCTGACTACATAAATTTAAGTGCTACTAGATTGACATCTAGGTCTCACCCATTTACTGTTGAAATAGTTAAATGTATTTGCCACTTCTACACCAAAAGTTTCTTTTCTCACACTTCCCAGCATTGGAACTCTTGCTCTCACTTGCTTCCCTGATAACTACAATTTTCAAAAATTTAAATACAATGTCAATCACTAACTTCTGTTGCTTTGATTACTGTCCTTTTCTCTTTTCCTCAATCCCCCCCCCTAAACACCTACTCTTTTCTCTCACTTTCACTCTCCATTACCCCCTGTATGCTAGTGGCACTCCTACCTTGCTTGGGGTGAAATGCTTAAAGAAATAGAAAAAACAAAAAACTGATACTCGAGTATATACAGCATCTATTTAGAAAGAGTAAACGAATTTCAGTAATTGATGCCCAAGTTTAATATGTATTCTTCCTGTTTGGGGAAACAAATATCTAGTTCTAAATTTACAAAAAAAGGAATAATAATAATAAAAAATCAGTTTCTTACACTTGAAGAATTTTCATCACAAATGATCATAATAGCGGCTTGTCGAGAAGAACCATTGCAATGGCTGTTGTAAGGGTCTCCACCAAAATACTCCAATAAAACCCAGTTGGCTAAAAAAAAAAAAAAAAAAAAAAAATATCTACAAAATAACATCCACACAATCAGGAAGTAATACAATGAAAGAGGGGGGAAAATGTATCAATTTTTATACAGTACTTTAAGACAAAAGGATTGGATCATATTTAAAAAAAAAAAAAAAAAAAAAACAACAACAGTCATAGTTATGTCTGTCAAGTCAGTCAACCTTCAGTGACTATCATATCTGATCAGCCATCTTAAAGATGGTTGTGGGCAGGATACCAAAAATAATATTGTTTTGCTTGTAATCAATAAAAGTACGAACACAGAATTATGCAAAGCTTAAACATGGAAGAGTTTAAGAATTATTTTACTTATTCTATTTGAATGTCTGGTAGAATATGTACAGATATCTAATCCTGATTCCCAAATGTGTCAAGATTTTCAAAGAGCTTTTAAATTGGGAGATTGAACACACTGTACCTCTCTTCCAACCAAGAGATCAGGATACCATCCACTTCAAAGCTTCACTTAATAAATTCAGAGCCACAGAGCTTGTCTAAAATACAGAACATGCAATTCTGAAATAAAGATTTACAGGAAGTTATTAAATTCATTATAAGAAAGTCAAAGACTACTTTCTTCTCAGTGGCCTTCTCTGTGATAATAACCAGACATATTTAATTTTTATGATCTTTTTAATTTATGTAAGATCATGTATCACAATTGTAAGTTGTTGATATCTGAGTAATTAGCTTTCAGTTAGCATGGAACCAGAAGTCACAGTTTAAGCTTTACTCCTAAACAGAATTAAAGCATAGCACAAATTTAAAAACACTGAATTTTAGTGCCACCCAAGTGTACCATTTAAGTATTTGTTTAAATGGTGAATATAGTTATGAAGAACTTCTGTAAAATGTTTTTTTCTGTTTGCTTTAACATTTTTAAACATTTATCACTCTGCAGGTAACTTTGATTGCCAAGGAAGACATTTTTTCTGAGGACTATAAGCAAGTCCAAACAATAGTTTGTTTGAATTTCACAGTGGTGTTGTCATATCCTGCTATAGCAACAGACTGAAATAAAAGAAACTACAGTTGAAGGGTCACCATATAGAGCAACAATAATATATGAATAATGCAGAGTGCACCCGTTTAACGTCCTACATAGTAACTACCTTTTGTCTGAGTTTTTACAATGAGAAATCATTATATACATTCAGACTAATGTTCTCATTTTTGTTGTTACTTTAATTACATTTTTGCCATTTTGACTTCTGAGATAACCCCTAGACATGAACAGCAAAATGAGAACAGTCTACTCCAGTCCACCCCATAGATTAAATAAATGATTCAGTTTGAAAATCCCTGTAGGTTACTTGGATTAACATATACCTGAAAAAGGTTGGAGAGCACAGTGGCTGAAGCATTGTGAAAGTAACAAAAATGAAGAACTTAGTTTGAGTGAAAATAATGCACCTACTGACATACTAGCAGTTCATACTAGCAGTTCCACCCACTGATATGTGTAGGCAAAGAATAAAGCAATGGGTTTTCCAGAAAGACTAAATAACGTTGCTGAAAAGCAGATATTAGTCATCATAGCAGTGTAGAAAGAACAAAATGAAGGCAAGTTATAAGTTTCAAAAGGGGTGGGATTACATTAAAATTAGTGGAAATGTTAACTGCTGTTAAATGTGTTAAGATCTCAAGATATGAAATTTTAAAATGCACATTAATTAGTTACAAGCTTAACTAAATCAATAGCATTCTATCTGTGGCCAGTTGGAAAATATAAAGTACGAGTAGGTTAAATGTCAACATTTTAGGAGTATGTAAAACTAGTTGCCAAACAATGAAGATTGTGTCAGTGACAAACACAGGATTATATATGCAGAGAGAGAGAGAGAGAAAAAAAAAAAAAGAAAGAAAAGAGTTGGGTTAATACTAGATCAAGACATGAAAAAATGCATTCTGGGATAATGTCAACTATCTGCTAGAATTCTTTTAGTTAAACTGAAAAGAAAGCCTTTCAACATATTTATTATAACTCTGCACTGACACCACAAAGCACAGAAGAAAAAATCAAAACTTTCTACTCTATGCTAGACAATGCCAAGGCTCAGTGTAAATTGCAAGAAATTATAATTATCATGGGAGAGCTGAATACTGAAGTAGGCAAGGAAAGAAATGGTGAAATAACTGTCAAATTTGGACTAGGAACTAACGTTGAACATGGAGAAAAGTGGAGTCCAATGGTTCATGGCCAATGACCAGGTAATAGCAAAGATATGGTTCCTAGAATACCCAAAATGATTATGGACATAGGGAAGCCCAGGAGGAGAAACAAAAGAAAAAAATCTAGTACATCATCATCAACAAGAGTTTCAGGAATACACTTGTACACTGCAAAACCTATCCAAGTACTGACTGCGGAAGCAATCACCTCTGTTATATGTAAACTAAGAATGAAACTATGGAAACTGAAGAATTCTAATGCAGCACCCAAACTGCAATACAACAGACTCCTGATCAACCCAAATCTGAAGGAAAAATATATGAACAGTGTGAAAAGAAGATATGATGAGACATAAAATGGAAACTTGAAGTGGGATACATTAAGAGAAGTTTTAGTGACATCAGCAAAACAAGATCATCCCAAAGGAAAACGGACAAAAAAGAAAAGAAAAAAAAAAAGAAATCGATGACAAATAAGATTCTCAACATGATGCAAAGTAGACAGAAAACAATACCAAGGCATGGAACGGAATACAGAAAACTACACAGAGAAATAAGGAACAAATGCTGGCAGGCTAAAGAAGAATGGCTCAATGAAAAATGTGCAGAAATAGGAAGAATGAGTATCACAGATAAAGGAAATGTGTATAAAAAACATAAGAACAGGACAAAAGACATGTTCATCAACAGGTTGCATAAAATCCAAGGACAGAATGCTCATATTAGAGTAAGAAAAAATATTTCAGAGATGGAACAAATATATCAGTGAACTCTTCCACGATGAAAGAGAACAACCAGCAATACACGGAATTATTGATGGACTGGAAATATTAAAAATCTGAAGCTGCTGCTGCACTGGCCAAATTGAACAGAAACAAAGTGGCGGGGCCAGACAGAATTGTAATAGAGATGATGTCTTAGAAGATTTCAACATAGACAAGATCACAAAAATAATAAATAACATCTACAAGTGATGAGATATCGGAAGACCTATTTTAAAAGCACTACCTAAGAAACCAGGTGCAAATGAATACAAACTCCACCAGACAATCAGCCTAATGAGCCATATTAAAAAAAATTCATCGTCCAAATTCTGACAAATAGAGCACACAGCAGAATCAGGCCAGAGATAGGACAAGAACAGTATGGATTCATCAAAGACACTAGAACAAGGAACTTATTTATTTTCAAAATGTTATCAGAAAGAGCAATAAGTTCCTGTGTTTTATAGATTACACAAAGGCGTTTGACAAAGTATATCACAAAGATATGTTAGAGCTGCTCAGTAACTTTGACTGCTTGGAAAAGACATCAGAATAATCAAGAATCTACATTGGCAGCAGACAGAAAATGGATTGAGCAGATATACAAAAATAGAAATGTAAGACAAGGACGTGTTTTCTCCCTGGATTTATTCAACCTATACAGTGAGGCAATTCTGAGAAAATGAGAAGCTCTACCAGGATTCATTATTGGTGCCCACAATCTTAATGACATGAGATATGCAGCTGGCAAAGTGCTGATGGCAGACATGGGAAGGATACTACAAAACGTACAGAAGATAGCAAAGGAAAGCAAGAAGAAAGGACTAAGCATAAACTACAAGAAAACAGAATGCATGGTTATCAGCAAAAAGACGAGCCCAAAATGCAATTTATGGGTTGGGAATATTAAAATTAAGCAGGTACAGAAATTTAAACAACTGGGAAGGAAAATGCAACACTGAGATCCAAAGACGTATTGGGATGGCCAAGGATGCATTCCAAAAGCTAGGCAGAGTATTAAGAGAGACTGGGAAATTTTGTTGGAAACAAAGAAAAGGGCATTGAACTGTTACGTGACATCTGTTTTTCTGTATGGCAGCAAATGCTGATCAATCTCCTCAAGGATGCGGAAGAGACTTGAAGCAACAGAAATCTGTTTCTACAGAAAAATGCTGAGGGTACCATGGACCAAACATATGAGCTAGAGTTGGTCGGTTTTTTGGTTTTTGATTTCTAAGGAAGCCATTCATTTTCTTGTGTAATGATAGCATTTCCAGTCGATATGATTTCATTTGAGATTGATAAATTTGCAACTTGGTCCGTTCAACTCGCAATATCTCGTGTATTTATGGTCCAATCTTAAAAATATTCATATGGCTGGAAAGAAAACGAAATCTTTCTAAATATGTAATTTGTATTTGCTTTTATTCATTAAATTATTTTTTTTTACAGCGAGTTAAAACAGTATTTTGCTTTGACCAGCCAAAAATGCGAAATATATATTTTTTTAGGCTAAATTTTACATGTTGCTTTGTTTTGCAAAATCAAAGTGAAAATCTTTATCAATATTCTTGAAATTGTACACTCAATTAGAAGACACCTTAAACTACAACCAGGAAGATGTTCATTTCTTCTGACCCATAGAAGCGAATTCCTTAAAAAATTATGAAGTAAGCAAAGAAAAAAAAAAGAGAAACAGATAGTAATAAATATGTGGTAAAAAGAACTTTCAAATTATTGAAACTACTGACAGACACTTGTTTTCAATTAAAGTTTATTTATTAAACTTTTGAATAAATTGTCAACTATAAACAACTACCACATTTATTAACAAATTGGTAAAATATAAAAGAAATCATGGCATAAACTATATTTGTGTCTTTGGACAACACATTTGAGAGAGAAAATGGGATAGCTCTCCAAAAATTAGTTTGATATGGCTTTTAAAAAGCCCCCCCCCCAAAAAAAAACCCTCATATTTTTAAAAATACAGCAATTCTTTTCTGGTACGGCAGTCAACTGTTATTGGGGTTTTGCAAATAAATTTCTTCTAAACAAGGAAAATCAATGAGTTATTTTTTTCACAAAATAAATTTTTGTTTTTATCTAGCAAATGGAATACACCGAAAATTAAATATTAAAAATAATTAAAAGCTTTTAATTTCATTTTTAGAAGTTGTATATTTTCAAATCTATGAGTGTCACCTGTTCTTTTTTAGATACACATTTTAAAACTGAAATTAAAAACTATTTTAATCATTTTAATATATAATCTTAAGTGTATTTGCTAGATAAAACCATAAAGATATTTGTATAAATAAAATGAATTAATTTTCCTTGTTTAGAAGAAAACACCCACCGAATATTAGTGGCTAAAATAGAATAATTTTTACTTTGGGTTTAAAAAAATGACTTGCAGTTTTGAAAATATACACATTTTAAAACTTACTTTATTTTTTTAATATCTAATTTTACATGTATTCGCAAGATAGAAACAATTTTATTTGTAGAAAACAATTTTATTTGTAGAAAACAATTTTTTTTTTTTTTACTACACTAGAAACTTGCATATCTGGAAATGTACACATTTTAAAAGTGAAATTAAGAACTATTTTAATTATTCTTAATATCTAATTTAGGTGCATTCACTAGATAAAAAACAAATTTATTTATAAAAATACCTTCATTCATTTTTCATGTTTATAACAACCTTATTTCGTGATTGGCGTACTGGCTTACTAGATAAACCTTCTTGCCTTACAAAAAAATCAGACTTCATAAAATTTAACATTAAGACAAAACTGGCAACTGTTTTTTTTTTTTTTTTACTCAGTATTTTGTTGTTAAATTAATTTTACCACAAAAAGTTTTTTTTTTTTTTGAAAACTAAAACAAATAGATTTCAGACACCATGTCATATTTTCTTCTTTTTTTTTTTTCCTGTTTGAAAACATTCTATGATTTCCAAGTGTCATATTTCCTTTTTTATTCATTCACATTTATTTCCTAAAACTAGCTAATCAAATTTTTTTAACATTTTTCTTTAATCTTTTTCTCTTACAATAGTATAAATGTTGATAAAATTTAATTCTATTAACATCTGAAAGTCTTTTTTAGTAGAGCATCTTTGGATATGGTCACTCAGTAGTGATAGCACTACTAAAAAGCAAACGATTTAGGTTTCATGAAAAATTTCGATGTGGTTTCACAAAACTGGCAACTAATTTTTTATTTTTTCTCAGTATTTTGTTGTTAAATTAATTTTACCAAAAAAAAAAAAAAAAAAAAAAAAAATCAGTTTTTTGGTTAAACCGTCCATCTCTAATGTGAGCAATGACGAGGTTTTGGAGAGAATGGAAACAAAAAGGAAACTCATACTTAACATCAGGAGGAGGCAGTTGTAATTTCTGAGGCACATCATGAGGAAAGAGGGCTTGGAAAATTTGAGACTCATGGGATAGAGGAAAGCAGTGCATAAAATACTTGATGGGCTTGAGCAAATGAATGGCAGAACATGGTTTGAGAGAAATAACAAAAGGACAAAACATTAAGAGCTACAAGGGACAGGAAGAGGTGGAGGGCCGTGATTGCCTACATCTTGAAGGGTCACAGCACATAAAAAGAGCTATATATAAAATTCTGTAACTTCTGTTAGTCTGTCGATCCATCCGTCACACCTTCTAAAAGAGCTATACATTGGCTGATCAAAACCAAATTTTCGGGAGAAGAGCAAACAGGTAAGTGGGTACAAATAAAGTTAATTCCTAAACCAATTGAATATCTTTTTGAAAGGATAAGAGTTCAGTTTCCCCTGTGTTTGCAAGAACTATAAACAAATCACAAGGCCAAACATTTCCAAAAGTTGGAATTTAGCCCCAGAAAGAAATATTTACACATGTTGCATGCTCAAGAGTATGAAATCTTAATTTATTCTTCACTTTTAAAAAGAAAAAAGTTTTCTTAAAAAATATTGTTTACCATGAAGTCCTATAAAATTAAAGAAATTATTAAACCGCTAAGTAGGGTTTTTGTCAAAGGATTTTTTCCAAACAAATCAACTTATTCAAATTTCATCAATTAATTTGCGAAATTGAACAAAACGTAGTTTGTAAATCTTAACAAAACATGTTAGTGACAACTTCAGCAATACTAAATACCATGAGAATTTCAACATGTGTCAGTGGGTTGCGAAAAATTCTAGTTAATTAAAGTTTCACAGTGTCTATATATGCATTATTTCTTGAATTAATAAAAACAAAGTAAGCTTAAGCAAATTAAGAAAAGAGATTTTTTTTTTTTTATCTTCTTTTCTTTTTATGTTGCGTGTCCTTTCAAGACATGGGCAATCATGGCTTTCCACCGCTCTCTATACCTTGCAGCTTTCAACAAGTTTCTTGCTTCTGCTTCATCCCCCAGACCACGTTCTGTCATCCACTTGCTCAAGTCCACCAAGTATGTCATGTGTTGTTTCCCATCTCTCTTCCCCTCTATTCAACCCATGAGTATCAAATTCTCCAGACCTTCATTCCTCATTATGTATCCCAGAAACTTCAGCTGCCTCTTCCTGATTCTACTATTTTAAAATAGATATAAGAACTATTATTATCACACCTTACAGAGTTGTAGCTGCCATGAAGTTGCAAGTGACAACAAGGACTTAGATCAAGGAAGATGGTCAAAAGCTTATATTCATAGAGCAACTGTGTTGTGATACACAACTGTAGCTTCTCTACCGTTCAAGTTCTACTGGCAGCCATGTGTTACAATCATCAGCATTATTACTGATCTAATTTTGGTGAGCACCATTATCTGATAATCAGATATCCTTTTAACTTTTTTTTTAATAAAACTAAACAATAATCCTGGAATTTTTGTAACCATAAGTTCTATGCTAACAATTTCTTCGAACATGTGGAATTCTTCCAGCTTCTTGCTTTCCAGTCAATTTTGATCTTCAAAAAGTTAAATGCAATGTCAATCATTATTTTCTATCTTCTTAATTCCTGTTTTCTTCTTCTTTCTCCTTGACCCCCTTCCCAACCATAGACATGTGTTGTATCCTTAAAGGTTACAAACAAAGGTAGTACTCAAGTGAAGAAACAGCAACACACGTGTAGAAAAAAAAAAAAAAAGAAAAAAAGAGAGGTTTATTGTAAAAGAGAATAGTAAAAGACAGAGAATTGGTTAGCAAGCTAGTAATTCCCCGAAGCAGGGTTATTAACCTTACCTCCCCGCAAGGCAGGATGTGGCACATGGCTGTTTTCTAATATTGGGCTAAACCAATCCCGTAGGTTCAGGCAAAAATTCCCTGTAGACCTCGTATACACGGGTTTGGGTAGCTGTCTACCACCCCAGATGAGACTCTGCCCTTCGGTATAGCCTCATCTGGGTTCCTCTCTGCTTGAAGGCAGAGAGTTCAACCAGCACAGCTGGAGATGAATCTCCAACTAATTGCCGAAGCAAGAATATTTGCCAACTGTCCCATGCAGTCAGATGTGGCACAAAGCCGAATTTAATGTGGGGTATCTGAGCCTGTAGGCTTGGGCAAAAATTCCCTGTAGACCCCCATAAAAAATGGGGTCGGGTAGCTGTCTACCATCTCAGACGAGACTCTGCCCTTCGGCATAGCCTCATCTGGGTTCCTCGACTTAGCTGGAGATGAATCCCCAACTAATTGCCGGGGTAAGTCCACCAGGTATATCCTGTGCTTACTATATATCCGATATATCAGTCCACATAGAGAGTATGGGACATTCCATTACAACAACATGTATATACATTTTTACTGAATGTGTCTTTTTCAGACATGGACAAATAAACACGTCCAAAACATAACATTCAAAAACTAACTACAGATGGGTTCATACATCGATCTTGATTCTCTTTATGCCCTTCTGAGCTTAAAACAAATCCAATTGTCAACTCCTACATCTGGTAGAGGTGTTAGCCACTGCTCGAGTACTACAAGGTGCCACAGTTTGTTAGTTATTATATTAAAAACAAATAAAAAATTTGTCTGAAAACATGTCATTTTTCCACAAATAATTGGCGGAGAAGGAGTTAATGTTTCTCTTTTTCTCATATTCTTTCACATCCTTGCCTTTTAGTGGCTTTATTGCATTGCTTGGGGTGAAATTAAAGAGAAAAAAAAAATCCTGAAAGTATTTTTTAATTCAAGGAACAACAGGGGACTTTACAAGTTCAATCTGTTAAAATAAAATTAGAAATTCAGTTGACTTACTGCCCGCCATAATCTGTACATCAGAGATCCTTCCAACAATGCGTGTTTTCACAAGCTGCCCACTGGTATCAAGTTCAATTTGAGTAGCACCAACATCATCCTCATTGGGGTAGTCAGATACAGCTGTACAAATACCAACATTGTAATGATACTTAACGGCATCATAAACAAGAAATCTGGAAGTAAAATGGAAAACAATAATTATTGAAAAACCATAAAAATAAAAATTAGAAATCTTAAGGCAAATAAAAAGAGAAAAGGATTAAAAAAAAAAAATTGTAAACCTGAAAATCTGTTGAAATTAGAGTATTTCAGCTAAAAATGTGAGGTTTTTTGTTTTATTAACCTTTAGCACACTGCATTACTTCCCTTTCCATTTTTTTTTCAAGACCTCAACTGCAGTATCCTTATTGTTAATTGCACTCAAAGGTGTTTTCTGTTGCCATAGCAAGACATGACAACACAACTATCAAATTCAAACACTATTGTCCAGGGATCAGAGTCATCTTCAGTGGAAGGATAAAGTTAAGTCACATACAGAGTGATAAAGGTTAATGCAGATAGAAATATATGTTAATGCATATTTCTATCTGCAATGCATGACATTATTGATTGATAAAGTTGGCTAATTTCTCAACAATCATTTTCTGCAATTTACAGTTTTAACAAATAATTGCATGAAACACTGAAACAATATTTTAATTGCATGCAAGTATATTAAAAAAAAAAAAAAAAAAAAAAAACATTGTTTAAATTATCACATATAGACAGTAGATTTGTGTAACCCCTGCACTGGCCCCGCCCCCAACACACACACACTTAGGATAGCAAACTTATCAGAATTTTTTTTTTTTAAAACCAATATCAGATTTTTTTTTTTTAAAATTAATTCTAACATCCTCTTCACCTTGGCAACAAAACATGCCACCTGAAATCCCAAAACTAAAGGCATTTGAAACAAAATACCCAAGAAAAACACTAGGAGTCAGGTGGAAGGTTTTTTTTTTTTTTTTGGTTTTTTTTTAATAAAAAGTTAGAAGACAAGCCCATTCAACCCATTTTGAAGGATCTTTGAAAGCAACAGATGAAATGGCTTGGGAATGTTGGCAAGGTTCTCACCTAGTGAAATTATAAACCAAGATGGTGGTTTCTAAAAAAAAAAAAAAATGAAAAGAGCTTTGGCTGAAAAACACTTGACCACAAACCATCCAAGAAAATGTCTAAAAAGTAAACAAGAAAGGGAATACCCAATCAAAGTGGAGGCTTGAATTGTCCAGTGACATGTGAGCATTGTTTGAAATTTCTCCAATTCACAATTTTATATCCATTTTATATATATGGCCTTTTTTGTTGATGGCAATGGTTGGCAGCAGAAAATAAGTTATCTTAAAACACAGGACCGCTCATGGCTAAAATAACCAATGCGTGATCGGCATGGTTTTTGACAACAACCACAGTAGAAGAATACCGTGGGGTCATCTAGTGTGGTATTTGCTCGTTTAGCCTCTATGGTGTGCTGGACTCTGTTCTCTTTATAGCTCTTTGCTCCTGTGAAAGCAGCAGTTCTCCACCCCACTCAATCATATCCCAGTTTGCAACATTGATAGAAAATTCCATCATGGACGTTTTGCACTGGTCCTTGAAGCAAAGCTTGGGTCACTCAATGTTATGCTTGCCCTCAGACAGTTCTGTTTGTGAATTCTGGAGTTATCAATGTGCAAAAAGTGCCCAAGCCACCTGAGATGCCAAAACCACAGGAAGGAATAAAGTGATTGAATGCCATCTCTTTTGAGCACTTCTGTATCCAGGACCCCATTTTATAAAACATATTTTTGAAAAGAAAATATGAAATAAAACTTAAATGTTACTTTAATGCATACACGGGTTTTGAGTTGATATCCCTGCTTTTCTAGAGCTTGAAAGTCTTACTAAAAGAAAATGTACTTCTCAGAGATGTCTACACAGACAACTGTACCCACTAAAATTTGATGATCTAGGCCAGTAGATGTTTATTTCTCTGTTTAACAAAACATCCCTGTTAATATTTAACTGCAGTTTGAACAATGCCAGAATGATAACATGTTACTTTGTGCTAGTGGAACTATTGATGGCTTCTGAACAGGTCCGTCTACCAAATCTCACTCAAACTTGTATCCACTACAAAAACATTTATAGTAATAAGATATAATGTCAGATTAAAACATCCATTAACTGCATATTTATATTACTAGGGAATGATTTTTAAAATTTTCAAAAGAAGCTCAAAGCATGAAGCAAGGAAAAAAAAAAACAAAAACAAACATGAACCTAATATAGTTTTAAATATTAATTCCAAACAATTTTAATAGTGATTTCTCTGAGAGGACTTAGACCTGTAAATTGAAATACAATTAATGAAAGATGTCTGCTTCAAATACTCAGTGTGTTATTGTTTTATAATTGTTCTTTGACTGGAAATAGCATTCTGTTTATTGGTTAGTGCCATTTGTAGATTAATTTATAAAGTCAGGATTTTTTTTTCTCTCTCGCTCTTCCTCTTTTAAACAGAAAAAGAGAAAGGAAAACAAAATAAGAAAATCACCCAAAAGAAACTTCTTGAGTGCAAAATATGTAACTTTTTTTTTTCAGATTTTATTCAAACAGGATGAACACATGATTAACTAAAAGTTTTAGTGATTGAGCATGTGAAGTAAGCTGTCTATGATTCAACAGAACCTGTCATTAAACTTTTACTTATCTAACAGTTTTAATAAAATCTAAAAAAAAAAAAAAAAAAAAAAAATTATATATATATATGTCGTTCTGTCCTCATGATACTGGGAATGGTATGCAATAAAACCAACAATAACCTGTATTTAATTCAAATTATATTCCAATTAAGTAACTGTGTGTGTGTGAGATGAGTAGCTACTCTTGTTTTTCTAAGTACATCCATCTTCTAGGGTTGTTAGCCAATACCCATCACAGACACCTGCTCAGGCACATTTGTATTTGGTCAACAACTACAGATCCCACCTGTGGTTTATACTGTAACTATGCTGAGTGGACCTTAGTTACCATTTCTCAGAGCGTACATAATCTGCCATGATCAGCAGTCTGAACAACACCTATATGCTCAAACTCTTGGTTATGATGACCTGTTACTTTGTACTAGCACAACCATTGATGGCTTCTGAACATGTACACCTACCCAATCTCACTCAAAAGGCTTGGGTTAACCAGCTATGATTTTTCATGCCCTTTCCAAATGTGTCACATGCTGGGATCATCTCCACAGACTTAAAACATCAAGAAATCAGCTTTCTGATAAATCAACAATGGTAAGATCTAAACCCAAGTCTCATAGAGAGTGAATGTTCTAATCACCCAGACATGCCTATATCACACACACGCACTATATTAGGTACCTCCACTAAGTCACTGATAAAAGATCATACCATGATGAAAAAAATGCCTTAAACTTGAAAAAAAAAAAAAAAAAAAAAAAAAAAAAAAGTTTTATTGCAAAAATCTTTGTTACTATTAAGAGGAAAGACAAAAGTATTTTTTTGGTTATTCAATTATATTTTTTTTTTATCCATCTTAGGAAGTTTGAAATTGTTTAAAAATCTTGTTTTTCTTGTGTCAACAAGTGGGCTATAAATTTACATAAAAAATTTTATCATCTTTTTTTGATGAGAAAAACATTGATTTGGAAATTCTTGCAAAAACTTCCCATCATAACAGATGCCTATTATAAGTGCACTTGACAAATGCCTATTATAAGTGCACTTGATAAATGCCTATTATAAGTGCACTTGATAAATGCCTATTATAAGTGCACTTGATAAATGCCTATTATAAGTGCACTTGATAAATGTAAAAATGTCCTTGAAGGAGCTAAGTTTCTGTTTGCCGAGAGGATGAGGCATCGTATTGTATCTAACAACTTTGGCTTTCATGATTACTGGTGGCTCTGAGAAAGATGGTTAAAAATGGGGCTAATTTCAGTCAATTTAAATTAGTTTAGAAATACAGCAAAGTATTTTGCTTATTGAATATATTAAATTTAATCTATTTACTTGAAATTAAAACTAAAATAAAAGCGTCAAAAATGATTTCTCATTTTTTAAAATTAATTTTAAACCGCACATCTGTGGAGGTACATACATTCATTACACACATACACAAACATTATGCATACATGTTATGCTCATACATTATATACAAACATTATGCATACATGTTATGCTCATACATTATACACAAACATTATGCATACATGTTATGCTCATACATTATACACAAACATTATGCATACATGTTATGCTCATACATTATACACAAACATTATACATACACACATTATACACAAACACGCACACACACCTACTACTTTATGCACAAACACGCACGCACACACCTACTACACACGCGCACACACCTACTACACACACAAAACTATTTTATACATACACACACACACAAAATCCATGTATGAAAAAGTAAAACTGAAAACAGATTGGAAGTTATTTTGTTTGGGATGGATGAGGAAGAAAAAACTACTAAAATGCCACTTTTCCTTAAGTTGTTTCTTTTTTTTTTGCTCAAAATAAAACAAATGCAAAAATTGATGAGATTATCACTTATCCATCAATCATTAATTTTTCATTATTAATAATAATCCTATAAACTGCTTAATTAAGTCTACAATACATCATTCATCATTACTCTAATAATCAGTGTAAAATATGTGTCTATGCATGTATGTTTCTATGTGCATACCTTTGATGGTCACTCCTTGTTGTGGTGGAGGAGCTTGTGTGGTCCACTGACTGAGAACAATGCTGTTGAGAGTTCTAAACTCCTGGTAGGGGCCACCCTTGGTGGCAAGGTCAAAGACAAAGACCTAAACTAGGCACAACCAACCCCAACAGTAGAACCAGCAGATGATTACAACAGATCTCAATGGTTGAACCAGCAGATGATTACAACAGATCTCAATGGTTGAACCAGCAGATGATTACAACAGATCTCAATGGTTGAACCAGCAGATGATTACAACAGATCTCAATGGTTGAACCAGCAGATGATTACAACAGATCTCAATGGTTGAACCAGCAGATGATTACAACAGATCTCAATGGTTGATTACAACAGATCTCAATGGTTGAACCAGCAGATGATTACAACAGAT